TCTGGGAAGCATTTCCAATTTGATTACTTTGATCAGTGTTAATGAACCGGCGACCATAACGTCTGAGCATATCAAATGGATCCGCCTTGCCCAAAACGGGAAACTGTGCCGAATGAGCCTTAACTGGAAAGCGTAGCGAACTATATGCAATTAATTAAGATTTGCGTAAATTATACATTTAAATAAGGTGTATAGGCATTTCCCTTTAAAGGTTCTTCCGAGATTGCTTTGTCACGTTGCATGGACAGACGAATGATGGATTGAAGATTGAGCCATTGTTCGAAATGTGTGCAGAGCAGAAATAGTAAACGTAATTAATTTTCAGCTTTTGTTGTATCAAAGGATTTTCCTGCTGTCCGAAAGTTCAAAGGACATCTAGACACACACGTATGTACGTATGAGTATCCATGTGCCATCTGATGCCTGGCGTTTTGTGTTGTAAATTTGCAAAATAAACGAAATTGATGTAGGAGCAAAAATAAACAAGCGATGGCCGACCATCATCAACCAGCATCCAGCCGTCTGAAATCCGAAGAAACCTAGAAAAGACCAGCAGCATGGGGCTTCATCTCTATCTAAAATCGCCAGGCAACCAGCAGGACGACAGACCTCCCATGATGCACGTCTCATATTGCACTGATTTATGGCCTGATGTGGGTGTGGTGGGGATCTAATGGGTGGGTAACCTCCCAAATGTGCATCTCGAATGCAGCAACGGCCGGTCGAACAGATTCAACCACCTACAGAGGCACACCGATAGCCAGACTGCCACATATTTCCCAACTTTCCCCAAATTGCATTTAAATAAAGCTTAATTAAATTTTAAGCCTACCTGAAATCTGAGTGACAAGGAATACCTTTTATCAGGCCAGAACCACAAATGGGGGAGAATTGATTGCCAACTGAGGACAGCATGGAAGCCAATTGGGGGTAATAGTGCACATAGGGATTACTCCATTATCTGAAGCTCTGTTGTTTATGTATCTAGCGGCCAACTATGTTTAAATCTTGATGCTCAAAATCGATAGCACACTATCGAAATCGATTCTTTTAAATAAATAAACTGGCTTTTATCGACATTTGAAGTTTCCGGAAAACAAACGTAATAACGTAAAGTAACGTTAAGAAAAATGGATTCTTTATAGATCAAGAAATTATTCATACAGATATCCTTTAATCGAATTGTAAATCATTTTAAACATATCCTGGCTTCCCTTTACTATTTCATATGGTTTTGTTATTTACAAAAAATAAATTATAAACAGAAACATTATTTTTTAAAAGTTTTCCCATTATTAAAAGGTTTTACTACACAAAAGTCATTGTTTTAATGCATCACCCAATTGTCTACACTAAAACATTAGCGGGCTGGTATTATTATTTTGATTATTGTCATTAAACTGTTTTTAATCACAATCTATTGGTTTAATGTGAAATTAAATGCTTCTAGGTACCAATTAAAGCGATTTAACGGCCCTGCTTATCTGTAGCCAAACTAAACGATTTTCGAATTTATAATCACGTCAATCACGTTTCCCTATAGACCTTTGATCTCCTCGTATAATTTAAAACGATAGACAGTCAAAAGGGGCATCTGATCGATTCTGTACGGACGTTTTAAATATTAAGTGTTCAAATCGCACATATTGCCCTTGGGCAAAGTCTTTGGAGAAAAGTTCCGCCATATCTAAAGATCTCTGGCTTTTGACATTGGGGAATTCGTTCTGTTGGAGGGCCGTAAGCAATTTAATGGAATTATGGCGGCCGCAGAAAATGGATTTTTCGAATGGTGAAATGTGTCGGAAAGCTGTCAGTATGGATTTTTAACCGATTCTCTGGTCTCTGTGACAGCGTCACAACCTGTAGAAAAAAAAGAGAAAGAGGAGAGAGTGTGCCACAGAGATTGGGAGATGTGAGCAAGTAAGAGGGCGGATGGCGGACAGGGGGATATACATACAGTTGTGGAACTTCTTTCATTTAATTTCTGCAACAAAGTTTGCTGTGTGACTAACGAGACTGAAACTTTTTTGAAAATAAATTTGAAATTAAATTTCGCCAAAGCCTTTTAAAGTCCGTTGCCAAGCCAATCGGGGGAGTTTTGCTGAAAAGCGGGGAAAACTTTTTTCACAATTTACTTTCATCAAAATTACATCAATCATAAATGCACTCATTCAGACGTTGTCATGTCGCCATTCCATCAATTCCAATTCCCATTTCTAGAGCTTCGTGCGGATGCTTTTCTGTGTTATTGCACGAGTCTAGTTGCCATTTTTGTTGTAGTTCCTGTTGTTGCTGGGGCATCCTTTCAACAATTTCTAATTGAAATTGATTTAGAGTTATTTTTGCCTTCCCTCTATTTGAGTTGAGTTTCGTGTGAGCGTGATGTTTTGCGATGTGCGTGGCAACCTAATGGTCTACGTGATTGGAGGCCATCGTATAATGGACGAAAAATACCAAAAATTTAATGGGCTACAGATTCCTTTACATTTCTAATAACTCCATCTTAAAGCACTAACTCGTCATTTTTTTGATCCCTGAAGAAAAAAAATTCACAGTTTTTATAAATTTTTCACGATTTTTTTTTGGTAGGGATTTTTATATATTTTACTTTTACAAAAACCTAAACCTTCCAACCTAAAAGCTAAAATTTAGTTTGACAGGATGTTTGGATTAGCCTTTGGTCAGCTTAATTTTCCATTTGAGCAACTCGGATGATTGAAAAATCTATTAATTCGAATTACTTGCAGAAAAGCATTCTTTAAATTCTTGCCACATGTTGCCTGCGTCGGCCATTTATTCGGTTGGGATGCTACGGACATCGATATATATACACACAAAAGTTTTAATGGTTTATAAATATATATACGTATGTATATATGCATCACATTGTAGGTGCGGGCCAAGAAAACGAGTTTGCTACCCGCTTTCAGTTGCGTCAAGTCATTGCGATGCGATGAAAACATGGGGGTAGCAGCTGGTTTTTCGCCACATTTATAATGGCCTGCTCTCTGGGCCAGTGCCGCGGGTCTTGGGCAACTCTAAGTGGGTTGCGCGGCACCGATCCGAACCGCCGAATACTACCCGAACATAACCGATCCGAGTCCGAAGTGAGGCCGAACCGTGGCAAGAAGCTTGCGGAGATGGGTAAGAGACCATGATGAATGGCTTTCAAGTGGGACGCAGCCTTCCGAGCACCCAGCCGCCTCCACGCCGACACACCCTGAGCACCGCTTCACTGGTCGCCCATTTACAATGGATGTCAAAATAATAGACGTAAACCGAAATACATAAGTAAAAAAAATTAGAATTCGCATTAATTTTATTCGTTTGGTTATCGATATTGTCTATCGAAATCTAAAACCGTTTAGAACTAAGCTACAATTTTTCCAAAATATATTTTAAGACTTGACTAAAGGAGTTAGGTATTATAATTTGATTATATTGATTCTAAAATGTTTAAGTATTTTTTTTTATGTATTTTGTTTAAATATTTCGAACACCTCAAGTATCACAGCTTTAATCTGGAGCCTTAGACCGCTTCGCAACCCCTGGCAGTGATCGTTCTTTTATTTCTAAAAAAACACTTCATTTTTTAAATTTAAAAATATACAATTCAGTTTTTTAGTACTATTATTGTTATAAACCATTCTCCTATATTAATAGAAAGCATATTTTTTATTTTAAATTTGATACAAGCATATCAATCTTACCGCAACTGTATTTAGCCTCGAAATGGATGTTTCTTGCATGATTTATGAGTGCCCGCCGAGGCGTTTCGAAAGTGCCGAGATGAGTTGGCATTTGGGCTCTGTAGAAAACTGAGGCGAAACTTTCTTTCGGACGGAAGATGGATCGCCGGATCGGCTCTAGCACTGGGATCCGTGTGCTTAAATAATGTGCGCTGCAGTTACAACACCGTCCACCCCCTCCCTTTTGCTGGCATTGCAATGTCCGGACTGAAGTCCGGATTTCGGTTCCTCCTTCGGCATGTCGTGGCGCATTCATCAATGTCCATGGCGCTTCCGTTGCTATATGTATACACTGTACTTTGTATTTGGTGGGGCTGCATGTAAAATACTCGCACACCAATGCAACAATCTTTATCGAGCACAAACATAATCAATCAATTGGATTTATGTGCTCCAACTGAAGATAAAACTAATCAATCTTCGCCCAGCGACATTCGGAGACAGAGTTGGGGACGCCTGGCAGAGACTGGCTGGCCATGGAGAGACGTTGTCTCGGGCTTGAAGTACCAGCTTTCAGCTGCTGCATCGGGCACTATTTATTATTCAGAACCTCTCAAAAGTAGTTGCTATTAATTGTAAAGAAGTTTTCAGGCTTCGGCGTTGAGAGATGATCTTGGCCACTTCAGTTGAGTAAATGTAATTTCCGGTTACAAAGTTCAAGTGCTGATAAGCCTCTATATAGATAAGAGTCTTATCTTTAGATGAATGGGTTAATCATTAAATCTAATCTCTTTATAGCGTTTTAGACGCCTAACGTGTTCAAGGTGATAGCCGAAGGTCGTTTGAATTGAAGTTTAGTAGACATTTGGCTTATTTTGTATCCCTACATTTTTTTTTATTTAATAAGGATAATTAATAAAGAATATGAACATTTTATACATAAACGTTTTTATACAAAAAAGTTTCATAAGTCAGAAGATACTATTTTCGGGACTGCGGTCATAAATCATTCATCAGCCTTATCAGGCTAGACAAAGATAAGATAAGATAGTGTCACTATAATAATAGCAGGGAAAGTGCTGTCCTTATATTATCCAGGTTTTATTTATAATCTGATATGCCTGTGCCATAAATTATCCTGATTACCTTATCTAGAAATAAAATGTCAACTCAGCGGACGATAAATTTAGAAGAGCCTGTAATATGTTACAGGAGATAATAATATTTTCATTGCAAATAATTAATAAAAATAAAAACTATAAAACTAAGTACATTTTAGTAATGATTCCTTCTTGACATCTCTCTTTTCAGTCGGAGTCCAACTCATCGGCATCGGCCAAGTTCACCCTATTTAAGTGCGTCTACTGCGCCCAGCTCCTCGGATCAAATGATCGGCCTAAGCTGCTCGAATGTCTCCACGTGGCCTGTGCCCAGTGCGTGAGCACTAAGTTCTCGGAGCTGGACCGCTCCCTCCCGCCACTGATACATTGTCCGGTGTGCGACAATGCCTCGCAGCAAGAGTTCATTGTGGACAACCAGTTCCTGATTGAACAGTGTACAGCCGGTGAAAGTGGCGATGGGGTCGGCCTTTTGGGTTTGACCGGCGAAGGTCAAAAAAGTTCCGCCGCGGCGAGCATACAATGCAGCAGCTGCTCGGACGGTGCGGTGGCCACGTCGTGGTGCGTTGACTGTTCCGAGTATATTTGCGACAGTTGTGTACAGGCTCACCAGCGTTTAAAGATCACCAAGGATCACACGATCAAGCCCAAGGACGAAGCCAACAATGAGCAGCTTGCCGGAGCTGCAGGGGTGGATAAACTGCACATGTGCCAGTTGCATACACAAGAGAAACTATCGCTCTTTTGCGAGACCTGCGACAAGCTCACATGCCGCGATTGCCAGCTCAGCGATCATCGAGATCATAAATACAAATTCGCCCACGAAATAGCCACGGAATCACGCCAGGCGCTATCCACGCTTGTCTCCGAAATCAACTACAAACGGTTCCTTCTCTCCTCGGCCACTAAGGTGATTGATGACCGGCAGCAGCTGATCCACGACAAGAAGAAGGACCTGATTAAGGAGATCACAGCTATGGCGGTGAAGATCACCAACACTGTTAATACACGTGGCAAGCAGCTAATCATGCGATTGAACGAGGTGTGCGATAGCAAACTAAAGGTACTAGTGGAGAAGAAGGAGACGCTTCAGTTGCTATCCGATAACACGGACCACTGCATCGACTTCATGCAGAACGCCCTGGAGAAGGGCAGCGACTTTGCCATACTCTCGAGCAAGAAGTCACTGGTCCGTCACCTGCAGAAGTTAAAGTGCCAGAGGGCGGATATTCCCAATCCGGAGATTCCGGTGCGCATTCAGGTTCAGCTCAATCAAGTATCCGATCTCCAGAAGGTCATCTCGCAGTTGGGCATCATCATCGTTGATGGCAAACCATATCCGCCCACGCCTTCGCCAAATGGAACACCCCAGCCGGCACACCCACCGCGCCAGCCGCCCAGTCCGAACATGGCCCCGCCCCTTCGCCCTGGACTTCCGCCCGGAATGCCAGCAGGCCTTTCGCCAAATGGGCCGCCCGTCAACTTCGGACCGCAGAATGGACCGCCCCTCTACAGTAACGCGGCCCAGCAGCAATTTAACAATCTGTCCATGAGTCGTTCTTTTCCAGGCGACGGGCCAGGTAAGGGTACGAATGATTTTTTATTTTTTTTACTTTTATCAAAAGATGGCGGCATTTATCTATTATTTTAATTTTAAGTACAGATAAAAAGATGCAGAATCTATAAAGTGCATGTATTCAGGATCAATAGCCGAGTCGATTTATCCATGTTTTTCGAACTTTATGAATGTTAAGATCTCGGAACTAAGAGATAGATTGTTGGGACTAAACATGGGGGAATATATTTATGCCAAGGTAGCGCGTGTTTGGTTTAGCATTCGGGATCTCTAACACGACCACAAACCGCCAGAAACTGTGCCGCCCTTGTTAATGATAGCTGAGATCCAGGGAACTAAAAAAGCTAGGAATGTTGAAAAAAACATGAAGATTCAGTACATTTTGGTTTACCAAAACATTTTAAAATCTCATCATTGAAGTCTTTATTAAAATATTAATGGTATTAGGTGTGGGCTTGTATCTTAGCCAGTGTTATAGCATCATTAACCCGTGTTTGAGTAAATTTCAGCTAGCATAAATATTTTGAAATTGGGAAATAAGCAACAAGTTTAAAATTGAGATTGTTTGTATTTAGCTATTTACTTAAACAGAGATTGTGTTGGGACAAACCCAATATTTTAGGGCTTATCGTTTACGAGATCTTACTGATTATACAGAAAGTCTGACAGACTGACACAATGACAGGCTGACACAATGACTGTCTGACAGACTGACAGACTGACAGACTGACAGACTAACAGACTGACAGACTGACAGACTGACAGACTGACAGACTGACAGACTGACAGACTGACAGACTGATGACAGACTGACAGACTGATAGAGTGACAGACTGAAGACTGGCAAACTGACAGAAGAGTGGCAGACTAGTGCACTAAGATACTAACAAGTTAACAGACTGGTAGACCAAAAGGGCTGACAGATTAACAAAAATTCGCGCTCCAATTGGTTAAGCTTTAATATATTTCAATTATTAATAAAAATGTATAAAAACTAGTTAGTTTTAAGTTTCATTAAACGAATCCAAGCTTACCTAGAAAAGTTTAGTGATATACCAGGTGCATGGAGGAGCAGGCCTGCTTTCCCAGAAAGTAGCTGCCTCCTGCCAGATAATGGATGTTATAATTTTCCGGACAGCTTTTTAATGGGTTTTCGTCTGTGTTGCAGTTCGCTTTGGGGGAATGCCGCCAGTGGGCATGCAGCGACACGGCCAGCCGCACGTGAGCTCCTCCACGCATCCGCAGAATATGGGTAAGTGCTGAAGGCGGAGTCCCAAGTACCAGACAAGGTGGAAAATTAATTTTCTGCTCGTGCATTTTCAGACATCAGCCTGCGGGGCTTGCTGAACAACCAGGCAGCGCAGAGTCCCAACGCCCACATGGCATTCAATGGTCCGCCCAGCTATCCGGGCGGGCCGCAAGGAGCACCGGCGCCGGCCCACCAGCCGATGAGCCCCCAGATGCGTCCACATTTTATGCCTGGCCAGCAGGGTTTCTCTCAGGGCGGTGGTCCAGGAGGCGGGCCGCGGGACGCCAACTTTATGAACAGCAACGCGCGCTTCCAGTCACAATATCAACGCATGGCCAACCACGCCCAGCAGGCGGCGGCCGCTGCGGCCATGGCCGGAGCGGCGGGTGGCGGCGGCGGACAGATCCCCTCACCGGGTGCACTGCAGCGACCCCAAATGATGTCGAATCCCATGCAAAATGTGAGTGCCATGCAAAATGTAAGTCCTTATAACGAAATATCCGAGCTTCACCTTCAATTTCCGGTTTTTCTTTCCATAGTCGTTGGGGTTTCATGGGAGCCAGGCTGGCTTTAATGCCGGCCCACCGCAGACCTCCCCGCAGTTAAGCGGCGGCGGCATGCACAGCCTGGCCAAGTGGCACATCCCGCAATCCGCGCAACAGTCGAACAGTGAGTAATTGAATTTATCTAATCTAAATCTATTATTACTGAACTTGGATGTCTACGTTAAACTACATTTGGCTATCAACACAAACAGAAGTGTTCAGATCTCCTATCTATCTCCCCTGTTATCATTTAATTATAACAAAAGACCAACAATCATTATACAAATATTTAAATAACTTACTTTATAAAGATGGCATTTGCCTAAGACTCTAAAGAAGGCTATTTTTGAAGTGTAAACCTTCAACATTATTTAACCTATAGCAACTCAGTTACTACGTACTTAATCACTAACACGAGCGTTTATCATATAATATTAATAGTGAAGGAATAGTAGTTGCATTAGTTTGACAATGTTTTCCCATTAGTAATTTATTGCTTTTTCTTCCATTTTTAGTGTGTTCCCAGCAGGGTCCCCTTTTGCCTTTTGCGAATGGCCGCCAGACATCGGAAAATTTTAAAATCTCACTAAAATCTCCAAATACGCTCAAAAATAGCACCCCGCCCAGCCTGGGGGGTGGCGGTGCGGGTCACTCGGGCCATGGTAACGGCTCTTCCAGTGCTCAACTGAACGCAGCTGCCCTGGGATTGGGGCCAGCCGTTTCGATACTCTCAAATGTCACCTCGACGAATCCAAAGACGCCCAGTCCCAGCACCCATGAGGTTGGTCTATAGGATATTACTTAATAGCAATAGATTGCTAATTTTTTTTTTTTGTTTTTGCAAAAATAGAACACCAAGGACTTCACAGAACCCATAGACAAGGTCAGGGATGACTCGATCAACGATCTGATCGCCACCATAGCCAAGCTAGACTCGAATGGGGTGCAGGTGTTGCCGGAGGGTCGGACAAAGACCACCTCACCGCAGGTGCACAGTTCTACGGATCTCTCGAACACGCAGGAAGGTAAGTACTACCACCGCTGTCAGCCTCCAAGTGCTTCATGTGCGTGTGGCGTTGTAGTTGCCGAATCTCATGCCCGAGTCAATCCCAAAAGGTGAAGGGAATCCATTTGTTTAAGTCCCTGAGTGTTTACATGTTTCTTACCTGCTTATGTTTCAATCATTAGTCGTTAATCCGCTTTAGTTTTAAACTCTGGTGAAGGTTAAATACTTATTGTGAATGAAGTCTTGTCAGTGGTTGGGAACGCACGCTGCATCATTACCATTAGTTTTGCTTGCTGGCTTATAAATAAAATTCTAAAATTCTCATAACTTTGCTCTCTTTATTTCTATTTTCAAACATTCAAAAAATAAAATAAACTCGTTTCCAAATAAAATCCAAACGCGCAATAAACGAACGACACGAATAAATTACTAACAATTGAATCAATTCCAAACCAATACTCCAACACACTCAAAAACCAACTCGAATTAATCAACAACAACAATGCATACACGACACACCCACATGAACACACACCCGAACCATGAATGCGAACCCAAAAACTAATCATATCAGTTAATAATAAAAACGAACAAAAAGATGATCCCAACGAGGACTGGTGCGCCGTCTGCCTAGACGGAGGGGAGCTGATGTGCTGCGACAAGTGTCCAAAGGTGTTCCACCAGAATTGTCACATCCCCGCGATTAGCTCGCTGCCGGACGAGAGCGAAAGCTGGCAGTGCCTGCTATGCGTCAACCTCAAAGAACTGACAAAAACGGAGGGCAGTGAAAAGAGCTCCCCTGGTGAACTTAGCGCCTTGGAGTTACGCATCCTTCAGCGCATCTGCCTAGAACTGTATTGCCAGTACGAGCAGAGTCTTAACTTCCGAGAGCCTGAGTCGCCGGCCAATACATCCTACTACGAGATTGTGTCCAGGTAAATTTCAATGAAGTACCGAAATGTATTCATATTGATATTGATCGTACCAATATTTGCAGCCCCATGTCACTGGATGTGATTCGAACGCGCCTGGATCCCTCCAGTCCCAACCACTACAAGGACATCGCTGGCTTTGTATCCGACGTGCGTTTGATATTCTCCAACACATACCTCTTCTATCAGGTGAGCGTTACTATTGATGCGTCCTTATTTACTATCCCTACTTATGCCCGAATTTTCGGCCAGGAGGACACTAAAACCTACTCCAATGCCAAATACTTGGAGAACTTCTTCGAGGAGCAGCTGACCAAGTGGCTGCCGCAATTTGAAGACTGCAAGCTCGTGGGTAAGGGTAGCAGCTCCAATTCGCCAGCGCTATTGGGCGTGAATGCGACAGGTTCGCCGTCGCCCATCGAAAATGGACGGAAGAGCTGCGGCTCGGCATCATTGGGTGACAGCGATGGTGGCTGCTTGCCGGCCAAGAGGCCGCGACGGTCCGCGCACGAATAGAACGAGCTAATGCCCGGCGGAAAGGGCACAGATGGGGAGGATCCGGTGGAGACAGGACAGCAACGTCGCCAGGAGGAGGAGCAGTCAGAGCAGCAGCAACTGCCTGGTTTTCTGGAGGATATGGATTTAGAAATGCCACAGCGACCGCATAGCCTGGGCAGCAATGTTATCCAGGAAAGCGCTGACTATGTGCTTCAGCTTTTACACGCATACGCCGCTGCCTTTGGACTGTAGATGCAGCAGAAGCTACATATTTTATTCTCCTCTAACGTAGTTTTCCTTGTATATGGTGAGCGATCTAACCGTATAATTTTCCCCACAATCTTGGGCCACCTCTGAGCAGTTAAACCTAAAGAAAAACAGATGTGCCCTTTAAACTTCCGTGTCTGGACATCTTCAATAACTCAACTGTAAATAGTAAAGCCAAGCAAGTCATTTGATATGATTTTATTTTTACGTACAATGGAATAAATTGAATCCTTGGGCGATTGAAAAATTGAAATGAGATATGATTAGCTAAATTCTAAGTGTTGAATATCCATAAACATTGATATAAATATAAATATTACTATAAATATGTAAACCTTTCTGTAGAGAACCACTAGAGATTAAAACTAGCTGTAAGCGTTCAAGTTCGAGTGAAATCGTAATCCTTATTTCACCGATCTATATTTGAGATAAACCCCATTCTGACCCATCTCTGTTGGAAGTGTATTTACTTTTGTGATAGCGAAAAACAATAAGTTGAACAAATTATCCATTATTCATTAATATTATTATTATCATTAAACTAAAAACTGTAACGAAGTTCTACATTTATTTCGAATTTGACATGTACGTTATTTATTGACCGCTAACCATCCATTAGTAGGATCTTGATAGGGCGCTCATGTACAACCGTAAGACCCTGCTTGTCCTAAGAACAGCATACATTCGTATACCATATAAGAAGACACTTGAAATAAGTTAGCTGCATTCTAGCCGTCTAAGTTCCGCAGATGAATCAAACCCTTAAATTACAAATAAAAATTGATGTTTGGATGTTGTACGTTTGACGTAATAGCATACAGTAGCAATAAGGGGTGACTAGCTCTATTTATTACCAATCGATCGGCGGGACACGGCTCCCGCAGGCGATGTACATAATGATCTATACATATTTCCGATACAGAATCCCCTTTTCATATAAATATATATATATCTTTAACGGAGCGTGTATGTAGTTTTGTATGATGCCGGATCGAAACTAAAAGAAAACCAAATCAACTAAGGTCGATATTTTCATAAATGTTTTCAATGCAAGACAAGAACAGAATTCCCACTGGACAACTACAAATAAAATTTAACGAAACTAGATGCTAAAACGTCTACTACTCCTAACGGGCGCCACAAAAAGAACGATAGAGAGGCAGAAACATATTAATGAAATTATTTAGCCATGCATAAATGTTTGTAAGACGTCCTCAGTGGGCGACAATGTGTGCTATCCTATCAGAAAAACAAAAGCTAAGTAGATCATGCATAGCATCTGCGAATGTTTGTATGTTTAACGTGAAACTATGGAAATTATTTTATCTGTTTTAGCCGTAAGTTTTACGATAACTAAAGATTAACCACTGTATATGTATATGGATGTACTACTTACTATCAAGTGGAAAATAAAATAATAAAAAATTACACATCTACTGGTCTGATATCATTTAGATGGCAAAGAATCCATCATCCCGCATATATTGCTCCTCGCTTTGGGGCTACAACAGGAATCTTTCATCTATAAGTGTCTTTCGGGAGACGTTGCGACGCACCCAATAGCGGAAAATTTGTCGCAGAACCTGAAACAAATTTAAAGATTAGTTTAATTTGTATATTAACTCACTGATCACCTCACTAAATTAAACACACAAGCCGTCGCAGCTGCAATCAGCAAGTTTGAAGTTATCAGAAAGATTGATAGGAGCAGTAGCAATTCCAGCACAAAGATGTTCAGATGGTTGCCCAAAAGGAGAACACGGGAGAAGCTGAAGGAATCGTCTATGTAAAATGTACCTTTGTCTGAAAAATTAAATTTTTATTAAAGTTAACAAAGCATTATTTTTATTACTACTTACTTTCCGTTATATAATTTTCAATTTCGCAGTTGAGCATTTGTTCCAAAAATGACTTCTCCTTAATGATATAATCCATGTCCTTGATAGCCTGTTATAGAAATATTAAATATGCATTACTATTAATTAATAAGTATAGGTTTTACAGAGGTAGAAGCATCTAAAAAGGAAAAGATAGTAAATAAAATAAGCTATCTATTATGATAAGGCCAAGTTGTATACCCTTAACTTACATGATCTATAAAGGCACAGAAAAACCGATTGACGCTTGCATATGCAATGGAGGTCCGCTCCATTTGGCCATCGATGCTGGGAACGATGTCCTTTTGATAGAGAAGGGTCTGCGAGAGGCTCCCGGTGAGGCTTCGCTGAAAGGGCAGCAGAAGTCGCTCCAAGTAGATGCTGTTGTAATAATTTAAGTAATAACAATATCCCTTTAGGCTTACAGTCAAAACTCACTGAAGATTCCTGGGAGGAAGAATGATGTACGACTGTTTATCCGAATCCATGAGCAATCCTCGTCGTCCACACATATTCTGGGTTCTCTGAAGTTGCAAAATCATAGATGACATGTCCGTATCAGCAAAGCCGTGTGGAGATCGTCCGTGAATGTAGTAGCCAAAACCCGGTTCAGTTAGCGAAAACAGAGAGATGTTGGCAAGACTGCAAAGATCAATGAATTTCTGGAGGGGATTGGCCATGAAAAGATTGTGGCCTATAATTTGAAGCAGATAAGTGAGCACATAAACGGCTGATATCAAGCAGCAGCGCAGGACAAGGTCGCCCCTAGTAAATCTCTCCAGGAACTGATACCCAGCTACGACTACAAACACCTGACCCAAAGTGGAGTACTTCTGACTCACACTTAGGCGAATCCAGGCATTGGCCGTAAAAAGAACCCTCCAAGCGGAGACGCTGCTTTCAGCTACGAAGGTGCGTACGCTAGAACAGAGCGAGGAGCTGTCCAGGTTCAGCCGCTGTCCCTCGCAGCTGCTCCGCGGCCTTTCCCAGTCTATGAGGAACAGTTCAAGCTGGCTGGAGCGCCATAGCTTAATGCCCAGGAATACAAACTGTAGGAGAAAGGCAGGATAGAGAAGGATCTTTAGCAGGCGTAAATGGGAGGTTTGCAGCAACAGGAGGAGCAGAGCAGTGGCTAGCAATGCACATGCCAAATTCCCTGCGAGTTGCAGGAGAAACTCCATTAGGCTGCTAATCTGACACAGATCCGTTTTCCTCCTTCTTCGAAGATTCTGAAGACGGAAAACTGCAGCTGCGAAAGCCAACAAGAAAAGCAGGGGCAGCGCCACTTCCAAGATCAAGAAGTCCCAATCTCGTTTTACTTGCTCGTAAGTAATCTTCAATCGGAATGGATACAATTGGGCAAGCGAGGCATTCCCCGGTCCTATATCAATGTGGTGATAGCGAAGACGGATGAGCGGCAGACCCACTCTATCCGGCTGATCCTTGTCCAAAGTATAATGAAGTTCTATGTCCTTCGCATAACGTAATGAGTAATATTGCTGAAGCTTGTGAGCATCCTCATAGCGTGGCAGTGTGTGGTGGAGTCGATTATCCCGCGGAGACGCGGAGATCAACTGGAATCGCTTTACCAACTGCCACTCCTCCTGATGAGGACGCTGGAATGATAAGAAAGTAATTAATTGTCTTACTTCACTTAACTCCAATCCTAACCTGATTCTCCGGCGTAAGAGTCTCAATAAGAACAGGCAGCTGGTGAAGCAGAAACTGCCAGTTGCTACTGAAGTTAAGAAAAACTGAAATATACTCGTCGTTGGCCTGCTGGTTGGCCAAGTCAATAAGTCGCTCCAGGGTCAACTGGCAGTAAACCTCCGACTCCTTCTTTGGCAAAGCCAATCTCAGACTTGGCGCCGGCTGCTGGCACATGTTCAGCATCTCCGGTTGGAAGGCACCCCACCGCTTGAGGTCACCATTCAAGCTAATCGTGGTGCTAAAAAGGCGCAGTTCCTTTCGATCCGGCAGCTGAAGGGTTTTCGAAAGCAATTCCTTGGTAACACGACCCTTCTTGTAGAAGAGAAACGGCTGTAGGGAGCGCACCTGTTCGCCGGAGTGAGCATACTTCATCACTACATCTGAAACCTGTGTGAGTAGAAAGGCGCTGCACGGCGAGTGTTTCTCCAGAGAAAAGTGTGAGAGGACACAGAGATTAGCCAGCTCTTGGCAGGCGGTATCGTTTCGCAGAGTCAGGCAAAAGAAGACCACGAACTTGAGGTCCCCAAAGTGGCTTGGTGTATTTGCATCCGGCCTGGAAGGGGTAGTAGCCTGCCAAAAGGCATTGTAGTGCAGATACGGCCGCAACAGAGTGCTAGCCACGCAGAAATCCTTATAGCGGAAATTATGAACCATATCGCAAGAGTGACAATCGCCCACACTGCTCACAGGATTCGTCTTGGTCAGGATAATCCCAGAAATAATCGGATGCACTGGCAACTGGCTGGCAAAGACCGACGTGGAGTTCAGGTATCGATAACTGCACTGATCCGAGGGTCGAGGCTGGGGAAGCCACACCGAGGTGCAATTGTCGCTTCTGTCCGGGGTGCAGATCTCATCACAGGTGGGCCACGTCTTTCCACGCTCATAGATGGATAAGTGACCAGGCGGGCACTTGCAAGAGAACTCTGGCGGATAGGAAAAGGACTTTTGTCACTGACACATTTGTAATTATTATTTTATTTATAATCTTAATTTTCTCAATCTTTTATGTTGTTTTAATGAATTTATTGAACTCTCAATGAGGGGCGGTGTGGTCTTCGCTCAATGTTTCAAACCCACAAAAAATTGTTAAATGTCGATTTCGAGTGTGAATAAAAGTTAGTAAGCAGGTCAGTGACCCCAGAAAGACAAATTACGAAAAAAGTGTATATATTAACATTTAAGCACTTGTTAGTCAAAAGAAAAACTAATCCCAAAATAATACAATTTTTGATGACCCAAAAACATAGGGGTCTTTCTGAATGCAAAAAGATCTATTTTCCCTGAGTAACATGCAGTTCACCCACCATCCCTTTGAGTTATGTTTGATCAATACTCACTGTCGGGCTGCAGTTTTCCGAGACCCCCGGCTCCAGTTGCGACCTCATTGCAGGGCACACAATCAAATAGGTTGAGGTTGTAGAACTCGTTCTTGAGGCACTGCAGCGGATTTTGGAAGCGGAAAGTGTGAGGTGTTGGCAACTGCGTGGGATTTGGCGTTTGAGTGGTCAACGATGAATTGACAAATGGTATTAGTAGGCCGATCCAAAAAAGGGGAAAGCACCATTTGATGAACCAAGGGAAGCACCTCATCCTGTTCTAATTTCCGGAGCAGAAGCTCTCTGCTCAAAATTCAAAAGGATACTGAATACCCCATGGGTTGCAGCTGCAATTTAGAAGGCGCCGAGGAAGGCAAGTAAACAAGTGGACTCATGGAGGGAGCGTAGTTGCTATAGCTACCCAACCCCAGGATTTTCATCGGGCACGCATGCAAAATGGCCATTATCCGGAGGGTTGGCCCAGGTGGTTGCTCCTTCAACCCAAAGTCCTGACCAAAGAAGGTCCCAAGACTTGTTACGCCTAGGATTATTTTCCGTCCCACTTATAATATATAAGTACTTTGCGTGCTCAAAATTGTGATTGCCTTCATTACTTTCTTATATTTTTGCATACGATTTGTAGGTAATTTTAGCAAGGGCTATTTTAGAAATTAAAACCTTTAACCATCAGAGACTATTAAATTAAATGCTCCACTTATATTACTAAATATTAAACAATATAATGATTGATAAATGTAGATTTTAATAAATTAAATCCGATTATAATGTAAATATATATCTATATGTATGTCTTATTCCTTAAGATAGAAAATAGTTCTGTTCGAATTATAACCAGGGGCTATTAATTCTTTTCTGCCTATTATAGTTTTGGACAGATTTAGTTTCCAGTAAAAAATATAATTAATAATTTAATCCATAAAATAATAATATTAAAAAGGCTTAGCTTAGAAAGAAGCTGGTAAGATATTTAGAATAAGTTCGGAAACTGGCTTGATGGTTATGAAATTTATAAATACGTCAGTTTATTATGATGGCCTTAAAATTGTGATCAAACAGAAATACTAAAGGATGAAATATTCTCATTCCCCACGCCTATCCTTATTTAAAAAGTATTTTCATTTGGTTCATATAAATAAAAACCTTTTTAAATTATTTTTGATAATTTCGGTTCTGAAACCGAGAATTAGCATTTTGCGGCTTGTCCTTTTTTGGTCTTTGTTTATTGGGGGAAGTAGCGGTCGAAAGCTCCACAAAACAGTCTTTGACTTCGCTCTAGGACTTGTTTTGGCTGAATTATGGCATAAAAAAAAAAAAAATTTTTTATGTGGTTTTACGTTTTGTGCAAAAATTGATGACCCCCGACCTGTCAAAAACACGAAAATTTGGCCAAAAATTAAATTTCCGAATTCGACCACAAAAGTTAATTCGATGTAATGCACAAAACAAAAACGAAACAAATTGACATATTATTATTTTTTGTTTTAGGAAAAAATGTATGAACTCCAGTCTTTAAAAAAAAGCGTTAATGTGAAATAAATAGTTATTATCGAATTCCGACAAAATCATTTTCTTTTTTATTTAAAATAACATATTTTCTCAAAAAATTCCGAACATTTTAAGCTTGTTTGTTATCCATATGTCAGAAATTTAAAAGTTTTAAGAGGTTCTGAAATAAAAAATAACTTATCCTTATAACTTATAATACACATTAAAATATTTATTTCATTTATTTTTTTTTTTAAATTTATGACCAACATAAAATCAAAAGTTAAATTAAATAAAATGACCTCGAAGAGACCAAAGCCTGTTTATAAATGTAACTAAAAATAATATTCATTATTATGCAAATAAATAACTATTTTATTGAAAAAGTTGGTAAAATGTTAATCTGATTGATTATTTTTCTTTTTCTGATGATGATTCTCTTTTTAATTGAGAAAAATACATCTGTTTTTTGTACGCAGTTTCACTTAAGAAACTTAAAATCAGAAACCTAATTTATGTGTTTTTAAAAACTAGTTTTGAAGAAATAAATTTTTTGTCCATCTTTCGTATTTTAGGGCTTTTGACTGAATCACGCGATGGTCACACTGCTGGCCTCCCCCACTTCTTCCTTGCAAGGACAACACAATTAGACGGCGGACGCATACAGTTTTTTCCCCCTAACCGTGGCCGTCAGTTAGCCTAGTCTCGTCCCCCAACCGACGGGTTATTCCCCAAAGCAACCGTTGGTCATTCGCATCCAGGATGCTACGCTGGCGACACACATGTTAGACATCCGCAGTCGATGACGAAAAATGAACAATTTGGTGAGTGGGCGGTGGCGGGGTTTCTGATGTTGCAGTCTTCAATTGTGTGTATCAATCAATCAATCAACATATGTGTCAATCAATCCTTTCAGGAGCACGCTAAGCACTTCTATCCCGATAATTATAAATTGGATCTGTCCGAGACCATGAAAGCGGCTCTGTCAAAAGGACCCGGTGGCGGCGGAGGGGGAGTGGCTGGCGGGGATATGCTGCCTCAGCCAAATGCCGGAATGCCAGGAGTTGGCTATGTAACGGAGAAACTTTATATGTTGCTGCAACTGTATCTACAAAATAAAGGCTGGAACCCAAGTGCCGAACTTCTACAGTGCTTCAGCGATCTTAAGGACAACGCCATGCTGCCAAGCGCCGCCTATCTGCAGTGAGTAATAGCCGATCTATGGTTCTATCTCTCCTAACTCCCTTTTTTACAGAGTCCTGGCCAATCGGCTGACTTTGGACTCGCAGGGTCGCCTTATCCTGCGAGACAATGGCAAGATTGTGCTGCCTTTTGAACACTTTGCCAATGCGGTTATGTTAAAGCACATGTCAGGACCGCATGGCCTGCATCTAAGTGTGGATGCCACGGTGCGCGCCGTCATCGAATCTTATACAATAGGACGGGATCAGTTTGGTATGGAGAAAGAGTTCATCATCGAGGTGGTGCAGTCTTGTCCCAGTCCTGCTTGTCGCTACTACAAGAACCACATGGGGATCTCGCCAATGCCGTTTATGGAGCAGCAGTATCCGGGCGTTAATACGCCCGACTTCCTGCAGCGTCTGACTCACTTGCCGCCTGGTGGTGCAGCTGGAACTGGACCGGGAGGCTCAGCAGCCGGTTCTGCATCTAGTGTGGGAAGTAGCTCAAGTTCGGCCAATGTAGAGATCGATCTGTCCAAGTCGACTGGTGCTAAGGTACCAGTACCGGTACCCCCTCAGCTGCAGCACCTGACCAAGCAACAGCAGAGCAGCATCCAGACACAACTTTCACAGATCAGTGCTGCAGCTGCCCATCACCAACAACAGCAGCAACAGCAGCAGCAGCAACAACAGGCAGCAGCCAAGCATCAGCAGCAATTAACTGCAGCTCTAATCCAACAGCAGAACCGTGTCCTCGCCCAGCAAAGTCTAGAGAAGCTTAGTAACCAACTTAGTCCGCTGGAAAAGCAGCGCGTCTTCGCCCAACTAGATCCCAAGCACTTCGATCCCATGGCTGTTGCGGCTGCAGCCGCTAATCTTCAGATTCAAGGATTGATGCAATCACAGGCGGTTGCTGCCGCCGTGGCCGCCAATCAGCAGCCTGCACCGGCCACTGCGACTTCTGCAGCAGGAGGATCTGCAGGCAGTTCGCAGGCCCATCACGGCCACCACCCTTTGCCGCCGCCGTCACAGTCGCCACATTCGTCCTCTTCGTCTTCCTCTCACTCATCGCTGGATCAGATTACCCACAAGAACGTCGCTGAATCCTTGCGGTAAGTGCTTATAATGATACTATATTAATATTTCTTATACTTTATTTTAAAAATTCTTTTTGTTTCTTGAAATATTCAAAATGTTTTCTTATTGATGAGCGAGTACGAATCTATACTATTAGTTCGTTACCATCAATTGTACATATAATATAATTTTCTTGTTGTATTTTTGTATTATTTTTTCAAATGCTGCATCTGCTGGTTTTCTGTATTAAAATGTCAAATTATATTGTAAAACTGTTCGCTGATGTCAGGTCCAATCTGGACTCGATAGAGTCAAACAAAGATCTTCTGGCGTTGCACAATGGGGCCTGGGCCACCGGTGACGCCAATCGCCTGGATCATTTGGCAGTGGGGCAGGACAAGATAGTGCGGATCTTCGCGGAGCTAATGCGAAATATGTCGCGGATGAAGACCTACATACGCCCCTCTATGTGTAAGCCCTACGGCAAGCAGAGCGAGAGTCTGCAGAAGAGTAAGTACCGAATTGGAAACCGGTTCTGTGTGCCAGCTATCTTAGATGCTGACGGCTCCTTCTGTTCTGTCCTCGTTCTCCTCTACAGCCCTCATGGATACCATTCAGATCGTGCAGACGCTTCGTAATTGCCTTCCAGCTCCCCACATACCCGTATCTTCTTGGAAAAGTGAGAGCGAAGGCAACGTGGGCCCAGTAGTGGGTGTTAACGTGGGCGTTGGAGTGGGTGTCCCTCCAGGACTCAACCTGAGCGCCGCCTTGGGACTTCCTTCGGGCAGAGTGGACAACATGCACTAGGATGCGTAGCAGCATGCAACATGAAAACACTTACACCCACATTCTTCCAGGAGTTCGAGAAAACTTAGTATTTACACACAGAAGTACGCCTAGATTATAAGCATAGCAGTTTACCCTCGTAGGCTTGGCTCCAGTTTTCCTTTTAGCAATTACGTGCCATGTTCAACGCAAGACTTGATTTATTTTCTACATTTGACTGACATTTAGGTATATATGTGTATGTATCAATCCTGCGGTTGGATTCGTATGATTTCATTCTTACTCCTCTGTGTTTCCCAATTTGGCATACAAAATTAACAAGCAAATCGGCAAATTAGTTAAACAATTGGCAAATCGTCTGTGATATTTAAATTATGTTGGCAAAACGGAAAACAAACTAAATTTAATTTATTAAGTTGTGTGCCCTCTGTTATTACGAATTACTTTGTGCAATATCTCTACTTAGCATCTATTCTTATCCATTCCCGTGCAATCGACAACTTCTCGCCCATATCAAAAGCAACTCGAATATAGCCTATACTTAAACTAACCTACTGATAATCGACATGATAGACGAGTAAGATTTACTTTATATTTTGCATTATAACTTCAGAGTATTTGAAGTGTAATTTGGATGGAGGCCATTGCGGCAAATGAGAGAGATTACGAGTTGTGTTTAAATTTAAGAAGCAGAAGATGGGTTGTATTCCGTATGCAAAGGCTATTTAAATAGATATATTTTAATCCGCCCGAGCTCACCATTACCAGTAATTCGATTATCGAGCAAACAGTATTATATGCAATAAAAAGACATTTGCAACCATAAGTATTTACCTAGCTGAAGTGTGGGAATTTATCGTAACATACCATATTATCGCTTAATGTTTACCTTCTGGACTTAATACTAATAAACATTTTATTCTACCACGAAGAAAAGTTTTTCAATTTTATATTATCATTAAAATGTAACTTCTCATTCAAAATTTAGAAATTCCTGTATTTGGAATACAAAAAGTTTAATTTTACCTTTTCAGACATTGAATTACTAGCTTTTTGAATATTTCTAAACTTAAATAATTTCCAGTGACTACGTATTATAATTAAGTTTATGTTTAGATTTTAAAACTTATGCCAATTATCAAAAGTTTTGACAGAATCGAAAACTTTAAATTTATTTCAAAACCCAAATACCATCAAACAATTAGCAATGGATTGGTTTTCAAAAAATATTAAAATTTAAAAATGAAAAATTCATTTCACATTGTCTGGCCCGGTTTCCCACAGTGTATTGTTTAATGAACGGTTGTGCGTAAGCAGTATAATGTAAACTTTCAGTGGAATCACTGTTATTTAGTATGTGGAAACATACGACAGTGAATACCGGCTATTAGTTAGCATGCTGACTGGCGCTGAAGATTTTTTCGTTCTCAGTTGACGGTCACACAGTGCGCAGCGAGCTGCGTTTTTGGTTGATAATTTTTAAATTTATTTATTAGTTTATTGGTTGGAAGTAAAGCTACTACGAATTGCCGCTGACCCCACCCGGGCGCCCTCGGTTCATCGCCCAGCGCTTTACCATACAGATTGGCTATCGATACATTAACTGACGGTAATTGGAGAACGTTTTTTCCATTTTATCTCCACCTTGTCCGCACTTCGTTTTGTGCTCTCTTTGTGCGCTGCCTCCGCTTAACATTTGGGCCCAAAAAAACACGCATTAAAAAGCCCCACCGTGTGTGCCTGTGAAATTGTGTTAATACCGACCAGAGGGTTGGACAAGTGGCCAAAATGCAATAAGAATATGTGTGTGCAATAATAATATGGCACGGTGCCCCAAAACATGAAAATGGTGCTAGACGCTCCTAACGCCGTGCCGAGCTGGCATATTTTGCTTGGCGACGCCGTCGGCGCCGTTTTTTCCGGCCGCGAACTCTGCGCGAGGAATTTACAACAAAAACAATGAAATATATGGTATTTAAATTGTCCATTCAATGCGTTTTAAAAATGAGAAATTGCGCTAAATCTCCGATGTAAACGAATGTTTTCTATTGAAGGCCCTGTCTAAATGACGTCACAAGCGTAACAGAGTGCAACAGACAACAATGACCGATGAGCATAAAAGTAACATTAACAGTAACAGCAGTAAATCCAGCAACAACAATAACAGCAATAACAACAGTGCAGCAAGTAGCAGTAGCAACAACACCAACAATAACGGCAACGAGAGCAGTAGCAGCAGCAGCAGCAACAACAACAACACAAGTAGCGTAATTGCAGAGGCGGCCGCCAAGTTTCTACTGAAAAATGGCCTGAACGGCGGAGAGCAGCAGCTTTCCCCTTTGCCACCGCCCCTGCCCAATGATTTAAGCAGGACGACCACGCCCACGTCAACGCCAACGCCCTCATCCTGCAGCTCCACACCCTCAAATGGCTTTTTGCCGCATGCCAAGACGCCCAAAAGTAGTAGCATCATGGCTGCATCAGCCGCAGTTGCAGCCACCATCGTTGGAGCTACTGCGTCAAAGCCCACTATTGATGTCCTGGGCGGCGTCCTGGACTACAGTTCCTTGGGCGGAGCAGCCACTGGCTCACTGCCCACAACTGCAGCAGCAGCAGCGGGAACAGTGAAGATCGGCAAGGTCATTAACTCCGGCAGCAGCTTTGATATGGGCAGGACTCCAATATCGACGCACGGCAATAACAGCTGGGGCGGCTACGGCGGCCGTTTGCAGTTCTTCAAAGGCAAGTTTCTTGATTTATTTATATGGATGAACCGAAATATTAAAGAATAACCGTTTATATTCTCCCGTGCAGATGGTAAATTCATATTGGAACTGGCACGATCCAAGGATGGAGATAAAAGCGGTTGGGTCTCGGTCACGCGCAAGACCTTTCGCCCTCCATCGGCGGCCACCTCGGCCACTGTGACCCCGACGTCGGCGGTGACCACAGCGTATCCAAAGAACGAGAATTCTACATCGCTGAGCTGTACGTAAAACATGTCAAATTTTCCACGGAACTACCCTTTTAAAATAACGATCCCAATTGGGAATACATTTGTGGTTCTCCCTTTTTTACTTAAGATAAGATTGAGTAAGATGGATTCCTAAAATCATGCTATCGAAGCTTTTAAACGATTTAAAATAGAATAGGTGTGCTTTCTTGCCCCAATGGTTCAAAAGACACGTATAGGATAAAGTCCAACTTCGGTAGCGTACAAATCATTAGACTGTATTTTTATAGGAACGTAATTCCTGAAACTTTAGGGAGCACTTACAATCCATATTCTATTTATATTAATTTCCTAAAACATATGAAAAATTGAGATTTTAGCATGATTTAATTTCAACCGGTTCGGTTCGGTTCAACTCTAAAACAAATTAATAATGACCTACCTAATATGGGATTATTGATTTCTTAGGTTTCTTTAAATAATAACCCTATTTTCTTTACAGTTTCAGACGACAACAGCTCGATACAGTCTTCGCCCTGGCAGCGAGATCAGCCCTGGAAACAGTCCCGTCCGAGGCGAGGCATATCCAAAGAGCTATCGCTCTTTTATCACCGTCCCAGGAACAGTACGCTGGGCCAAGCTGCTCTTCAAACAGCCGCTCGCAAACGACGGCGGCCCCATGAACCACTAACTACTAGTGAGGAGCAGCAGCCTATTTTCGCAACGACAATAAAGGCTGAAAATGGCGACGATACTCTTAAGGCGGAAGCTGCCGATGCCGGCGAAGATAGCGCTGAGGCAGACACACCCACAAATGAGATTAAAACTGAAAAACCGGACACGATCAGAGAAGAGGAAGTTACTGAGGAGCCCGAGAAGAAGCCCCAAAAAGAGGTTAAGGATGACTGTGAGTCACAAGATGCATCGGCCGATCTTAAGGTGGATGCACAACCAAAAGTGGAGACTGTGGAGAAGATGAATACGAGCGATGACGAGGAAGCCATGACAGCGTTACCTAAAATCACGAATCCTGTAAACGGTGACTTAAACGGCGACCTCAAGACGACAATTGGGAAACCAAAACCGAAACCAAGGGCCAAGCTCAGCAGCATCATCCAGAAACTAATCGACGGCGTACCAGCGCGCCTAGAGCAAATGTCAAAGACACCAGCTGTCTCCACGACGACTTCGGCGTCAGCAGAGCGCATTGGTGGCGCAGCCATTGCCAGTCTAGGTCACTCCTTGACGCACAAGGTGATTTATTTTGAATTTGTTCCTTTTTTTTTTTAAGTTTTTTCGAAAATGTTTTATTTTTAATCTTTTTTAAATGCTCAAATGAATGTTCTTGAAGTGCACATCTCTATAATTTAGGATTTTGTTTCACTTAGACGCAATATAATAATTTTGAGGGAAGCTAGATCCTGGTCTGTAAAGAAACATGCATTGATTAACCACTTGAACATCTCATTAAAGGTATCTCCGCCATCGTCGGCATCAGCAGCGAGTCGTCTAGTCGAGTACCACCACCAGCATGTGTCGCCCAGGAAAAGAATTCTGCGTGAATTCGAGAAAGTGTCGCTGGAGGACAATGGATGCGTCAACAACGGCAGCGGCGGAGGCAGCAGTGGTGGGGCGGGTGGAAAACGTAGCCGTGCAAAGGCTTCTTCTACTTCGTCTTCGGCTGGGAAGGCGTCGCCGATGAATCTGGCCCCACCACAAGGCAAGCCAAGTCCCAGTCCCGGTTCCAGTTCTTCAAACACTTCACCAGCGGCAGTGTCGGCACAGCCAACGCGACTGAACAGCTCCTACAGCATTCACTCGCTGTTAGGTGGAAGCAGTAGTAGCGGTAGCTCATCATCCTCCTCCAGTAAGAAGAGCGGCGATCATCCGGCGGCTATTATTAGCAATGTGCACCACCCACACCACTCCTTGTATCAGCCGAGCTCCTCGGGCTTTCCACGATCGGTGCTCACTTCGCCTAAATCTCCGGACGTGAGCGGAAGCAATGGGGGCGGCGGGAAATCGCCCTCGCATGCTGGTACAAAGAAACGGTCCCCTCCGTACTCGGCAGGATCACCCGTGGACTATGGTCACTCCTTCTACAGGGATCCCTATGCGGGAGCAGGTCGTCCTTCCACAACGAGCTCAGCATCGCAGGACCTGTCACCGCCGCGCTCTTCGCCAGCATCGCCGGCCACGACCCCCGTACTGTGCCCAAAAAGACTGCATCGATCCGAAGAGAGTTCGCCTCACCGTCGGCCAGCAGCAGCAGCTGTCCCTCGCCCGGCGATCGAAGTGCCTCGCCACCGGACCGGCGACACATCCAGCAGCAGCCGCACCTGCAACGCAGTTCGCCGCTACACTATTACATGTATCCGCCACCGCCTCAGGTGAATGGCAATGGATCGGGCGGTAGTCCAACATCCGCTCCGGTAACGTCGAGCAGCAGTGCAGCTGCAGCAGCGGCTGCAGCAGCAGCCGCAGCCGCCTACATTCCCTCGGTGGTGTCGCCTTCGCTATACCACCCGTACATATCCACACTGGCTGCGTTGAGACACAGTCCGTTGTGGATGCACCACTATCAGGCAGGAGCTTCACCCTTGCTGCCGCCACATCCACAAGCCAGCAACTCGGCGGCCGCCGCTGCTGCAGCTGCTGCTGCCCGACTGTCTCCGCAATCGCCCTATCACGCGTTTTCTTACAACGGAGTGGGAGCGGCTGCTGTGGCGGCTGCAGCAGCTGCCGTCGCCTTTGGACAGCCAGCTCCCAATCCTCACACGCATCCGCACTTGGCCCATCCGCACCAGCATCCGCATCCGGCTGCTCTGACCACCCACCATTCGCCCGCTCACCTGGCTACGCCAAAACTGACTGATAGTAGTACCGACCAAATGTCTGCAGCGTCCAGTCATCGTACCGCCTCCACTTCGCCGAGCAGCTCGAGCGCCTCCTCCTCGGCGGCCACTTCCGGCGCTAGCTCCTCCGCAATGTTTCATACTAGTAGCCTAAGGAATGAACAAAGTTCAGGTGAGCAACCAATCAGTGTGAATTTTTATAATATGAATATCATTTTGAACCAGAAATTAAAAAAAGTCTTATTGATCATGTTTTTTATTTCATTTTTCATTCAGTAATCAACTTAGTTGTAGTACTAACTTTGCTTTAATGCACAAAGATCATCATTTGAATACGAATTCTTTCTCTCCCTCAGACTTACCACTGAATCTGTCAAAGCACTGAGACATACACACGCCCCAGCTGCCCCAGTTTCTGGGCCAACCAGTTAAGTACATTTTCGCACTAGTAGCGCTTAAGACGACATTCAACTACACGTAATATTATTTCATAAGCTCGCTGCTAGTTTAGATTTATCATAACTGTTTTAGCCTAAGCCTAACTATAGGTTCTCAATTAAGGCCGAACATTTAAATAATGCAAACGAAAAGAGAAGAAAAACTATGTGGAAAAAACTCAACTATGTTTTTTAAACCGTTCCAGAACTTTTTATACAATCAGTTGAGAAATGGAATCTTCGACAAACATATTAAATATGCAACGGAATTTTATTCTATGCCGACTTATGAAAAGAAATACTAATAATCATAATTAAAAAAGAAACATTTTTCTATAGGATGTATAAAATGCAAGTCTTGAAGAATCTCAAAAAAGAGTTACGTTTTTTTCATCAAAACATTTCCTTGAAACAGACTGAACCTGAATTTTTTTTTAAAAAAAAAAAAGAAAAACAACTTAGTTACGGATCGCAGCATATAACCTTTTAAGGTATATTTAACAAAACTACAAGAACAGATTTTTATAAAATGCTTGTGCCTTTAAAGATGAAAGTAAAACTAGGGATACAAAAATTAATATGTAAAACAGAAAAAAAATTTACTAGAAAAAAACTATAAACATGCAAACATTTACAGATGTTCTTTGGTGACAACTTAAGATGTCCTAAATATCGTGGTCCAAAAAGCAAAAGACATGAATTTGTTCTAGGTAGATTATATACAAAGCTAATTTTTTTTAAATAAGGTTTCCATTTTCGAATTCATTTTGGTAACTCATTCTAAATAATTTCAAAAATGCTAAAATTTAAAACTCTTAATTGTATTTTCTAGAGTAATTTAATGAGTTTAAAATTTTTAAACTCATTGATTGACTCTAAGTAATACCATTTCTTTTATATAACGTCATTCTAATTATATTGTGAAGTTTAAATTTAAGTCCTTCACGGATTTAAATTTATATCTTACAATTGTTTTCAATATCTAAGAGGTTGTATAACTTTACCTAGGGCGATTTAAGTGTCTTTGCTGTCCAATCAAAAAGAAATGAGAATGTACAAAAATTCACATATACAAAATATTTACAAAACAATGGAAAGCGAAAAGATCCTAAACAGACAATTTTAAGCCGGAATTCGTACAACTGAAACTGATACAAATAAAAAACATATTCCTAAAGAAAAAAGACAAAAAACAAAACGCGGTTTCTCATATTTTCTAAATTATTTATATAAATCAAAATGACTATTTATATTTACTGGTATATAATAATGTGTAAGTAAATAGTTGTAATTGTAAATACAGTATTTTTACACAACAACAAATTAAACCTATAACCAATATATATTTAAAATAACTATTTTTATAACGGATTTTAACAAAATACTGTATATTTTGTATCTGACTACGCAGAATAAAAAACAAAAGGATTCCATTTAAGGTCAATAAAAGTTTGCACAAGTCCGATTAAAACTTGCTTAAAATTTTACTCACTGGCCGAAATAGTGTGATGGACAAAATATTAATATTGTTTAATTTTAAAAACACCACACAAAAACCAGTCAAACAAAATATTTAAGCAAGAGAAGTTTGGCTAACCTTTTCAGTAAACGTTACGAAAAAGCTAACCTAAACGAATATAAATAAAATTTCCATTCAAATTCCATACGGTTTTTACTATCTACTGAATAGTTAGTTAGTTAGCTAGGCGTCTAGGGACTATTATTTTATTTTTACCTTTACAACGGTACTGTGTACGACGTTTTTGTTTTATTGAATCGAAGTGTTTAGTTTAGAGTTGCTATTTGTTAAAATACACATGTACTATGTGCATTGTCGAACAATGTGCGAAAACCCGAAATAAATGTTGGCAAAAAGTGAAATATATAAAGTAAGCAAAGCAAAGGGTTTCAAAATACTGCATCTCGTGATGTTGAAATGTGTGTAAAGTAACGAAAACAAAACTAATTTTAAAGAAATATATTTTATATAGGTATATATATACTGAAATTGAAAACTTGATGTCAATAAAAACTTATACTAAATGTATGAAAACTAATCTACATAACTTTTGCTCTATTTGGGGATAATAGAGGTGCTCAGTCCTTTGCCATTTGTCCTTGATTCCGATTTTCCCATGAAAAACACGTGAATTATTGAGACGAATGCAGTCTATCGTAATCGTAGAAGCACATTATGTATCTATATTTTTTTGTTTCGATTAAATTGTATACATTCGTTTGTTTAAATATATCAGTTGTTTCATTTAAGTGTAGTTATCAAGCGATTTACAAAATACGTTACAAATATTAGAGAACATTATAAAATGAAACCGGGAAACATGAAAATGTTGATTTTTTGCTGGTACAGAAGCAAACAATTCATGGTATACAATTAATCATAATATGTAGGGATAGAAAATCGTTAAATTTAAACTTATTGAGTTAATGTCTCTTAACTTAATAGCATAATAGGATACAATTTTTTGCACTTCCATGCGAGAGTGTGCATGTGCGGGGGGTGTGTAAACAACAAATGAATAATAGACAACAAATTCCAGGGTCCAAGGGTCACTGAATGAGGGTCGATTAATGGTAGGAAATACAAGAATGGGTAAACACGTAAATGTACAAATTAACAGTAAAGTATATTGGAGCACTTGTGGGAACGGCATTATCAGCTATGGGTTAAGGGGATGCTTGTGAGTGGGTTGGGGTCGTGTCGATTGGCTTTATTTCGGCCTAACATAGTGAACACATAGTTTTGAACTTTATGAATTGGTTACAAAATTGTACTATGCCTATTGCATAGGCTCAGAAAGGCATGCTGAAAAGAAATGTGGATCCATTTTTGACTTGGTGATTAGGTTTGATTGTTTGGGTAATAAAAGTTGCTTTCGAAACGGTCGTGTTGCCAATCTTTTGATGTCTGTGCACTTGTCTTGTTTACTGCTTGTTTGCTTTTGGAGAAATTGTTTAATGCTAATTAAGGGAAATCTTCCAGGACTTGGCCAAAGCTTCGCTGAATTTCGCTCGGAAATGTTTGCGTGATGATCCATCTTGGACTTGGTGAACGGGTTTAATTGATTGTGTGATTAAAGTTGTTTACGAATCGATCGTTTTGCCAATCTTTTGATGTTAATGTAATTGTCTTGATTACTGCTTTTGTTTTTGGTGAAATTGTATGATGCCCAGACAAGGGAAATCGTCCAGGAGTTGCCCAAAGCTTCGCTGAATTTCGCTCGGAAATGTTCGCGTGTGGACCCATTTTGGACTTGCAGAGTGGGTTTGTTTGTTTGGGTGATGAAATATGTTTTTGAAACTTTGTTTGTCCTACTTGTCTTGTTTACTGCTTATTGTTTTTGGAGAAATTGTGCGATGCCCAGTTAAGGGATGTCTTCCAGGAGTTGGCCAAAGCTTCGCTAAATTTCGCTCGAAAATGTTCGCGTGCTTTCTCCTCCGTGTAGTCCAGCACCTGTAACAAAATATTGCGATATTATAAGCGTTTCTTAACAATTGTACTGTAACATACTAAGGTTTCACGTAGGTAGTTTAAATCCTTTTCAGAGGACAGTTCTGGCAGTCCCGTTGAAATCATCATTGAAAACAGCGATAAAATAAGGCATCCGTGTTTGCGTAAAACTAAAAAGGCCTGCAAACGTATAAAATGTTATTTTTGGCATAATGTTACTTTTAGATAAACATACGCGTTCGCACAATTCCTGAAAATGACAAAACTCTTTTGACTCGCGGTCATTAAAGCCCTTATTGATCACATATACGAAATCGTGGGTCAACACAAAGGGCACTCGTTCCCGTCTCACTCCAAACTTTTCCTTAAAGTGGCCTAGGATGTGGCCAAAATCGATGTGAAAAAGCTAAAAACAAATTGACACTGTGAATTAATTCTTCTCAAGTGTGGCTTTACACTTACCTGTCCATTTCTTTTCACCATTATATTGTCTGAGTGGCGATCGGCCACACCGAGCACATAGGTGGCAACACAGTAGCCAGCACAGCTTAGCGTGAACTCGTTGATAGCCTTGTTTAGCTTGTCAGGGGGCTTGTTGTGCTCCTTGAGCCAACTGAGGAGAGAGCCCTTCTTGAATGGCGACGTGGCCGAGAACATGCCCTTCTCTTTCTGTATGTTCGCGATGGTTTCGGCGTGCCGTACCACCTCGATCATGCCGAGGCGTTGCTCCATGCTGATGCAGTTGTAAATGTTCATGCGGAAGTCCATACTAACAAGAAGTTACAATTTCATAAGTTCATTTCTGTATACTTTTGATGCAAGTTTGCTTACCCATCGCGTTTCCACAGCTGGTCCATCACTCGCAGCATTTGTAACGTAAGCATGTCCTGTCGCAGATCGTCACCGTTCTTGAAAATTATGTGAACATCGTTGGAATTCGTGTCCGCGTTCTCGAACACTACCCATAGTGGTCGCATCTTGCTGTCCATTACCTTGCACCTATCTGGAGTTAGGCCGCTGCACCGGAAGCTGGGATTCAATGGATTCTGAATGTTCTGAAAGACGCCCAAGTTGCGCTGGTCCCGGAGAAAGTCCTGCAGCAGGGCCTTTACCTTCTCCTTGCTACCCTTCTTGGCGATCAGAGATCCCTGTTTCAGCTTCTCCAGCACATGCAGCTGTTTGCGGAGTGGCGCCACGTGATGTTTGCAGCCCTTGAGGTACACTTCTAGAAGAAGACCGAACCGTGTCTGCATAGACGGCGTCTGCATCTCGGAGCGCAGATGCCAGAAGAAGTAGTGGCCGATGCGTTGGTTGCGCAGAGCACGCTCCAGCAGAAATACTACTAAATCGCTTTCAAGGTACGATTCGTGCTTAATCGCTTGAACCAACTGAAGAAGATAAAGAAGCAGGTCTTCGTCCCTATGGGGCAAAAAAACGATTGATTTACATTAAAGCTTTACATACTCGTATGAAAACGAAACTACTTTACATTAAAGCTTTACATACTCGTATGAAAACGAAACTACTTTTAAACTTTTTAAATATTTATCATAATGTAATTTTTGTTTTTAAAATCCAAAATACCTAAAAGCTGATTTCACTTAATTTCGTAGATTTTTTATGGAAGACTGACGAATATAAAGGTTTAAGATATAGTGATATCTAAAATAGATAATCACTAAATATGCAACACAACAAAACAGAAAATAATTTGTTTAGTACTGTATCTTACTTGAGAGAGTGTAAGCACCGGATAGCAAAACGTCTTACGGCCGGATCTGGATACGCATAGTCGAGAAGCTCCAAAGAGCGTTCTATAGAAATTAGAGGCCATTGATTGAGAAGGTACCATATGTCTGCTACGTCGTCACGATCCTTCCAATAGACACAATGAAGCAGGATGGGTAGCTCTTCAGGAAGCTCGCGCATGATGTCGTTTCTGCAAAAAATTTAAATCGGTAAGTAAATCAAGAGTTGTTTTGTATATTTTATATACTCACTTGCGGTCCCAAATGGCATTACGGTCCTGATCAACCATTTCGTAAATTTTGTCCAGTCCCGCGTAGTTAGCCACGAGGTCTCTTAGTTCTTTAATCGGCTTTTCCGGCTCTAATGTCAGCTGTTGCTGGCGATTGGCCTGTGCCCGATCTGCAGCGTACTGCAATACTACCTCCTCGCTGGGGTAGCGCACGCTTCCTGTTCCGCCGCTGAGGAATGTCAGTTCCACAAGGGCACACTCCTCCTTGCGCGGGTTGGGTTCGATGGTGCCCAGCGGATGGAACACTTCGTCTGACTGGATGTCGTCTGCATACGTCCAAGTGTATAACGTCTGCCGACCGGTGCGCAGCATGTCCTTGTAATCGAACAGTGTAGTGTTGACCCAGGCAAGCGGATTCTTGTTGTAGGAAGGGTCCTTGAGAGTGCTGTCCTTGTTATTTGACGATTTCTTTGACCGCGACATATTGGTCACCTCGAAAATCACAATGCAGAGTCGTGTCATCCGTGGCAGGTTGCGCATCTGTATATCGAAGCTAATCACCAGGTCGTTAAAAGAGAACGTGTCAAAATTGCTGGGAGTGTCAGCCATTTTGTGGGAGCACAACTTTTGCTCGCCGTGGAATAGGCCGACATGGACGCCCACTTTGAAGGCGCGCGCCTTGTCATAGTTCACATTAGAGATGCTGTGTAGTGTTAGCTGGAAGTAGTTGCCCATATCCCACATTGACGAAGGCGTCTTAGACAGCAGGGCTGGTTGTTTCTTCGGTGCTTGTCGCTTTGGTACCAAGGCCTGTTCGTTGTGGTGGTTGATGTACGACTCTATACGGTACACTGACTGTAGCACCACATTTGGCACCGCTGAGTCGGAGAGTGTCTCTTGGATGTACAGGAACTGGATCAACGGATAGTCGCCGAGCAAGTACTCGTCGCGACCGCTCACCTTGAGTATGTATTCGGACGTCCGATCGTTCATCTTCATCTGCGACCGGTTCATTTTCTGAAGGGTGCTTTCTGTGAGAGAAAGGGGTGTGTCCTGCTCGTTCACCGACAACGTAAAGGTGCTCTGGTCGTTCTCGTTCTTTACCACGATGAGGAAGGTCCTGGTCGGATGCCGGTCCCGTATTAGGTCGGGCATCTTTGTCGAGTTGGCCAGCCGGAGTGGGTGCTCGTAAAGCAGACGCTGCTGCCATGTGTAGACGGAGCGTTCCACTTCAATATTGTCACAGATCTGCGTCATGTATAGCCGGAAGTCATCAATCTCGGGCGTCCCTTGCGTTCGATGGTGGTCAAAAGAGTTGCCGATCATACCGCTGACCATCTTGGTCAGCTCATAGTCGCTGCTAAAGCTAGTGGCGTCGGTGCGATCGCCCAGGATGAGCAGTCCAAAGTAGGGTTGCACCTCGCTGAGTCGCTTTGTTTCGTCTGTGTAGGGCTCAATATTAAAGGTTGAGATGCCATAGACCTGGTACTCACAGGCCTTTTTGATCACCTCGCTTAACGGCATTTGCTTGGCCTGGTTAACCATCTCCGCCTTGATCACCTGAATGGTGGTGGATGGACTGACAGTTAGCCCCAGCAGGAATCCATTGGGCAGAAAGCAGATCAGCTCCACCCACTCCAGCGGTTCGTTTTTCCACAGGTCGACTGAGAAGCGCCTACAGAGAGGTACCATTTCCTCTAGCGGTAGCTCAAACATTGGCTGATGGACCACGTAGGCCTGAGAACGATTGTCCATCATGGCAATGCCAGCGTGGTTCATGGCTATCAGTTTTCGATTCCCCGATCCCTGAACTGGTGCCTCGAATCAGGAGTATCACCAGCTCCTACTATTGGGGCTTTGTTGTGGTTACTTTCAACTTACTGTTACACTTTCTGACTTGGCATCCAGTTGTTAGTTGGCATTTCGCATTTTTCGTTATCAACAGATTGTTGTTTTCAAAGTTTTCCATTTAAATCAGCTCGCCAATCTCTCTGTGAATAAATCAGAAGGTGGCGCCGGGTTACTTGAAGGGAAACATATGGTGATAAACCGATAATTGTTTTGGAGTCTTACTACGGAAATTACTAAATTCAAACGCCCACCCGTTGATAAGAAGGTGACCCTCTAGCTTCCCCCAAAGACCTATACAGACCCATCTTTAAACTGGGCGCAGGCGGTTATGCTTTCACAACATGGGATAATCCCACTGTGACCATGGAGACTAAATTAGAAAGAAACTGCCTTTAAATCTGTAGTTCTTGTTAATTAAAACAAAAACGCTGACTTTATATTTAGTATGAATCACACAGTCATAAGTTGGTGGGTGGGGGGTGGGAGGGGTCAACTTGAAAACAAAAACAAGAATTCAGGGTGAGCCACGGCGACCTTTCAATTCCCTAACATTATTTTGACTAAGGTTAAAATCAGTTTTATTATTAAAATGAACATGTGTAAGAACATAATTAAAGATATAGTTGATAATAAGGTTTTGTTGTGGAATATCGAAAACTTTAAAAGGCATTTCAAAAGGCGATGGGTCAAATTCCATAATCGAACAAATGGAGTTGAACCTGCGGAAAGGGTATGGTAAAAGTTACGCGGCACCGATGTCTCATCTCTAAGTCGCTATGCCACAAATATGAAAATTGCAACTAGGTAGGAAAATGTTGAAAAGTCCACGAAGTGAAAAACTACATATTTATCACACTTTGATTTTGGTCTGTCCCGTTTGTTTTTGTTTTTCATCTCCATTTTGGGGAACCCTCGCCTTTATCGCATTTTTTTGGGTGTGAGCTGCGTAGTTGATGCTCCATACTTGTTTTCTGGTACCGGCATCCACTTTTGGCCACCATCGGCCATACCGCACTTCTTTTGTCGATCACATACACGGTGCAGTTGTAACAAACTGGAGTTTGATTAAAGAATATTAATTGTTTTTATTTGTATTGTTGAGTTACGTGCTGTTAAGCGTATGTTAAAATTCACAGGGTGACTGCTGTAAGCGACAGGGGTACCATGTTCGTAATATCGATAGTGCTAATATCGATTGTTGTTAAAATCTTGACATACTACTATCAATGTAAATATATTATAAAGTAGGTACCTTTATATTTTCCTTAGAATTTGTTTAAGTAATACATTTTAAAAACCAAAGATTGCTACCTGTAAAAAATACCAGAAACAGTGATTTAAATCACTCACTAATCACGAGAAAAATTTTTGAAACTAGTCCAGCCCTACTGTTTTGTATTTATTTACAAAACTTTGAAAAAATCTATCCTCATGCAAATATCAGAAGAGTACAAAAATTAAGGGGATCCAGTATGAATGTTAATGAATGTTAGTATGTGGCTTTTAAAACGAAATTATTTAAGATACTTGTTAACCAATACATACCGCTCGATGAAGCCTACTACTTTTCAATTTCAGATTTTCTATAAATTAGGGATTTCTTTCAAGTCGACCGAAATATAATAAAAAATTTATTATATATTAAGTGTTTCTATTCCTTCCTTCCTGATTTTATATATATTTTAAATCAGTCGCAATTTTTAAAATTATTAAGAAGAGTTCTTGCTGTTGAGCTAGTTTTAGAAATACTGAAACAAAAAATTAATTTCTCTGTAAAAGTTATTTTTATATTTGACCTATAGCTAGCAGCCTAATGAAAAGGCGCTAGAAAAATGCATTCAGTGGATCAACTTCACTCCATTATGATAATACATAATATCCTATATTTATTTTGTTTACATTAACTCCGAAATCATATTTCTAACAGCGCATATCGTGCTGTTAACTGTAACTATCGTATTTAGTTTGTCATATATATTTATCGTATATTTCAGTTAACAGTGAGCAGTCATACTGCTTGCCATTTCTGGTAACACTTCAAAAAGGTAAACAAAGTGAAAATTTCGCAAAATATACAAAAATAACTAGATGAGACTAAATAAATGTGCTTTAAAAAGATAACTTTTTTCAAACCATTGAGTAATAATGTGCGGGAGGTAAACGCGTTGAGGATCTTGTGAAGAAGATAGAACAAAGCAATGAGCGACTCCGATGAAGGTAAGATTAACCCTTTTAAAAATAATATAATTATACTTATAAATGTTAGCTTTGAGCAATTTAATCTGGCCAAAGGACAATTAAACATTAAAAGATGACATATGCAAATAGCTTAAGTGGTGCAATTAATTCCCCAACCAGTTGTTATTGGTTTTTCAACAACACCAGTTCATATGTACACAGGGTGATCCATGTGCCATAGAAGAGGGCGCGCAAAATGATTTTTTAAAACGCCACCTCCCCCAAATGCAACTGGTGCGCTGTAATCATTGAGCCATTCGACACCCACTCGAAAACAAACAAAACAAAACAAACTTCGCGCATCCAATGCCAGTCCTTGACCACGTGCAACAGTTGCTGTGCTTCTTCGGTCTAGTCTTGCGCAGTGCGTCTAAATCCGGCCTGGATCAATGACCACAAAAACGTGGCCCGTGTAGCTCGCAGGCCATCGATTTTCCCCAGTTCAGTTCAGTTTTTGCCAGCGCCGCGTTCGGTTCTCTTCTCCGATGCGAATTAATTTTTGGGACTCTGTCGCGCCGATTTGGGTTATATAATGTCTTGGAAATTCAGCATGGAACAACCCAAACCCGGAACTGAAACCGCTTTAGAAGCCTGCGATTATTTCGTGGATGAGGTCATTGAGGCATCCTCAATACGGGGTGGGAATTGAAGAAGCCCAAGGGTGTTGGCCCACATATGTTTAACAAAAGGACAACCTCTCGTTCACAGATGCCCGGGAGGAAGTGCGTCAGATCAAACACGGAGAACTAAGAACGGCAGTAAGCTCTGGAGATGAGAGGACTGTACGGGTCCTGCTGGCGGCCCTGGGAGCCGAGCGACAGATTATAGTCAATATGGCACCTTCAGGAGCGAATACTCTACTTTTCATGTGAGGAACTTAATTTTTTTTATTTTATTTTTTGGGCCAATCTTATGAAGATAATCTTTAGAGCGTGCCAGTGTGGTTACGAAAGCATCACTCAGAGGCTTTTGGATGCTGGAGCGGACGGTCGTTCCCATGCCGTCACCAAGTACTCACCCTTATACGGCGCTGTTCACAGTGGTCATTTGGGAATCGCTCGGTTGATGCTGGATCGCTTTCCAGAACTTATTCAACAACCGACTGTCGAGCGTTGGCTGCCTCTGCATGCCGCCTGCATTAACGGACACATCAAGCTTTTGGAGCTCCTTATTAGCTACTGCTATCCCGACTACCTCTATCAGACATATCGCGACGAGGAAGGCCAGTGGGAATGGCGACTTCCCTTTGACGCAAACGCTCACGATGTGACGGGTCAGACCAGTTTGTATATAGCCAGCATCTTAGGCAATAAGCAATTGGTAGGGGTTCTTCTTAAGTGGCAACTCCAATGCAGGCGCACATTGGGTGATTCGGCCAGCTCAGTGAGCACCCCTATCACACCTACCAGAAAACGCATTTCGTTTGGCATCCAGGCCATCATGTCCAAGCTGCACATATCTGGCGAGTCGGAAGGTCTCGATGAGCAGGCTTCCCAAGAGTCTACTGAATGTCAAAGATGTCCCATCAACGTTAATCTGCTGTGTGGAGCGGCGAGGGAAACTGCTTTATTAGCGGCAGTTCGGGGTGGTCACCTAGACGTTGTGCAGGCTCTGCTGCAGCACGGAGCAAATCCGAATATTGTGGCCAGACCAGTTGAAGATCACAACGACCCGAAGTGTTGTGAGGAAATATACGGGCTAAGCAATGTTCCTATTGCAGAGGCCTGCAAACAAAGATCCCTGGCCATGTTGGATATTTTGCTGAGACACGGAGCTCGCGACGACAATGGTACGGCCATCGGGATGGCCATTACTGGCGGCGACGAAGCCATCTTGAGCCGCCTTTTGGCACGACGTGTCCATCCGGACTCTGACTATAAAATCAATAAAAAGGGCCTTCCCACACCGGTGGAGGTGAACGTGTTTTTGCCGTCCACTAGCAACATATCTTACAGCGCCATGTTTCCCAACGTACCGACCATTATCGACTGGCACAGCTTGGGTTCCAGCGTTCAATTGTCAGTGGTGAGGATTCCTTGGATGGTCAGTGGAGTTTTGCTGCTGAATCCAAAACTGCAGTCACATCCCCGACTTAACGAAGTTGCTTTGACTGCAATCACGCGAATTGATTTCTCGCATAATATCCTAACGGCCATTCCGCAGGAATTGTTTCATTTGGTTAGCCTAAAGTGAGTAAAATTTAAAAGAAAACACATTAATTTGTATAAAAATAATATTGTATTTTCAGATATCTGAATGTGGCTCAAAACAAGATCACTGATTTGCCTTCACCAATGGGCAAGTCATATGGTTGTCCCGTTCTGGATGAGCTTTTCCTGCAGGACAATCAGTTGACAGCACTACCGGCCGCAATCTTTCACCTTCCCGCCCTATCTATTCTGGATGTCTCAAACAATAAGCTTCAACAGCTTCCATTTGATCTGTGGCGGGCGCCCAAGTTGCGAGAACTAAATGTAGCCTTTAACCTATTACGGGATCTTCCTGTGCCGCCAATGCAGACGAGCAGTTCATTGCTGAGCCTGGACAAACTCCAGCTGCAGACATTCGAGGAGTCCCCGTCAAATAAACCACGTAATGTGACGCAGCAGAGGCTTACCCATCGGAATCTCTGGTCGGCTACGTTGGAGATAACAGACAATGATATGAAGTGGCAGCATGAAACGGATTTCGGCGATGGAAAAACACCTGGTGTGGGCTCCTCCCAGCTAAGTAGCCTGAATATAGCAAATAACCTTTTTACCAGTATACCTGCTGCTCTGCCCTGTTTGGCGGTCAATTTAACCAGGCTAAATATGTCGTACAATAGTCTGCGTTCCATGGGGCATGTAACTAGTTATCCGGCGACGCTAAAACAGTTAGATCTAAGCCACAATGAGATTTCATGTTGGCCGAGTTTGCCACGAATTACCGAATCGGATCCGCACCTACTTTGCTATAGTTGTGTCCAGCTGCCGGAGGGTCGCGAGGAAGAGCAGGCTTACAAGACGTCTTCCTCAAAGGGTAGCTCCTCCTCCGCCACATCTTTCCGTGCCTCGGTGTTGAAGAGTGTTTGCAGACATAGGCGACACTTACGCTTAGAGTCGTTACGTACTTTGATATTGGCGGACAACCTACTCACCCGCATCCAGTTGTCAACTGACGACGCCACAACGTTGTTTAATGAAAGCGAGGACGCCGATTGGAGTGTAGTGGGTGTTAACCGTTCAAAGGTTATATTTCCCAACCTGTCTATGCTGGATATGACTAACAATTGTCTGAAAGAGATTCCCGCCTCGTTACACGAACTAAGCAGTCTATCTGTGTTAAATATTAGTGGCAACGTGAATATTACTGAGCTGCCGCCGCATTTGGGTCTTCTCTCGCGGCTTTGGAATCTTAACACGCGTGGTTGCCTTCTGCAGGAACCACTACGATCTATGATCGAGAGCAAGAAGCACAAGACGATGGATATCGTGGGATACCTTAAGTCTATCTACGAGGATGCCCAGCCTTATGCACGGATGAAGCTTATGGTAGTGGGGGTGGCTGGAATCGGTAAGAGTACACTGCTAGATTTGCTTCGGCAGGGAGCAGGCTCAGGTTCCAGTTCCAGTTCCCACCGATCTCGCGCTAGTGAGAATCATTGGGCCAAGCGAATGGGCCATGCACGCAGCACATCTCGATCGCATCGTCATTCATCAGCCTCCAGCGCCAATATATCCACGGTAGGCGTCGACATTGGAACTTGGCTTTGTGAAAAGCGAAAGCGATCACCCGGTTCTCATGGCCCGGTGGTGTTTCGAACTTGGGATTTTGGCGGCCAGAAGGAGTACTATGCCACTCACCAGTACTTCTTGTCCAAGCGTAGTCTGTATCTGGTGCTGTGGCGCATTAGCGATGGCCACAAAGGACTCGCTGAGTTGCTACAGTGGCTGGGAAACATTCAAGCAAGAGCTCCCAACTCTCCTGTAATCATTGTCGGTACACACTTTGATGCGGTCGGAGAATCTATCTCTCCGCAGAAAGCAGAGCAACTGCAGCAACTGATACGTGAAAAGTTCATCGCTATTCCTGATGCGGAAAAAATTGGGCTGCCTCGCGTAATTGACTCTATCGAAATAAGTTGTCGGTAAGTGTTGCGTGTTATTTTATTGATCAAAATGTAGGTACATTTTTCTTTATCTTAGAACGCTACACAATATTCATTTATTGGCCAACATCATTTACGATACGGCCATGCAACTGCGATCGCCTGGTTCTAAGGAGCCGATGCTACTGCAGAAGATCCCTGCCAGTTACATTGCCCTGGAAGATATTGTTAATGTGATTGCCTGTAATCTGCGACAGGCTGGCCGAGATCCCGTCCTTGATGGTGAGCAATACAGACGCTTGGTCACCGAACAAATGCGACTCCACAACTACAAGAGCTTTCGGGATGCCGCTGAACTACAGCAGGCCACCACATGGTGTCACGAAAATGGAGTTCTGTTGCACTACGATGATTCCACGCTGAGGGACTATTACTTTCTCGATCCACAATGGCTTTGCGACATGCTGGCCCATGTGGTCACAGTGCGGGAGATCAATCCATTTGCTCCCACGGGTGTAATGAAATTGGATGATCTCCAACTGTTGTTTCGAAGCGTTCAGCTTCAAGGGAATGGAAACCGGAGGTTGGTCCTAACTCGATCTTTATTATTTAATTTTGTTAAATACTCTATAGTGATGAAGACTTCCTTATAATCTTTTTTGTTTACATTTAGCTACATTGTCAGCTTATTGAACAAGTTTGAGGTGGCATTAACATGGGACTCTAGAACGCTACTAATTCCTTCACTGCTGCCATTGCAAGAATCAGCTACACCCAACACTGGAAGTACAGTAAAGCTCTCTCAACGTTCCCGCGGTCGCAGTTTGGGTTGCTCCGTCTCGCAGGAAGTGAATCTTAATAGTTTGATTTATGAGCAGAGATCATCTCTGACTTCACCATCTTCTTCTACGGCTAGTCAGGGTTTACGGCGTATTCTTTTGATGACTTATTTCCCTTCCGGGTTCTGGTCGAGACTAATCACGCGGATTCTGGCTGATGAGCAGATAATCGAGGCAATCCGTGGTGCTTATGTGCCTTCCCAAGATGTAAGTAGAAAACGTTGTCTTATAATATAAATTATTCACTTAAATTGATATTTGTAGAAATATGTGGACTTTGATATACGCACTTCGTTGGAGCAGGACACCCAGTGGAATTTGTGGCAAACAGGTTTAGCTCTTTACTACGGACCAATCTTAATATTCAAGATCTGGGAAGTGCCCTTTCAAAACACTGAACGAACGCAACCTTTCCGCACAAATGGCAACCGTTTTAAGCTGAAATTAGATGGCATCTGGAGCGATGTGAATCTGAGCTCTTCTAGCATTCTGGAAGTTTATTTTCCACTTCACGAAGTAAATATATCCCAGGAAGTGGACGACCGGGAACGTCAGTTGCTGGCCGAGCTTCAGCCGCATATGTCCCAGGTGGCAAAGCTTTTGGCTTTGGCAGTGGATCACATTGATTTGCTTTTAGAAGACTGGTATCCTTCGCTGGGAACACGGTTTGTGCACACATCGGAGGGCCGTTTCCTAATCACTCGTTTGGTGTTGTGTCCCCGCTGTCTTTGGAAGCTGCAGTTGCAGCACAGCAACGAACCGGCAGATCGGGAGCTACCCCCAATGGGATGCAATAGACCAAGTCGAAGTAGTAGACGTGGAGCTGGAGCCTACTTCCTGCACGGTGTAGGTGATCCTGGTGAAGATGGTGCTTTAAACGTATTCTCGGCGTATTTGAATGCCACGGCAAGGAGAGAGCGTCGATCAGAGGATTCTTTGGGGGCTGGATCGGATGCAGACTCGGGCGTGGGTCCCGATTCCGCCGGTTCTTCGCGCAACACTTCAGTGGACGGACATCCTGGTTATTACCTGCCTGATAACTCAAACGTTTGCTACGCGTGGATGATTGAAGAGTGCATATTGTCCGTGTACAATCAAAGCAAAATCAGCTGCCCTGTACACCTTGAACAGTCTATGGCTCAGTTAGCTCCAGATGTTATATTTGCCGATATACCCGATAAGCACACTATTCCAAGCGAGTGCATCATAAAGGGATCGCTGCTTGGTCGAGGAGCTTTTGGATTCGTCTTCAAAGCAAATTGCAAGATAAGGGGTGCTAGATCGTTTAAGGCGGTAGCGATGAAAATGCTTCAACCAGTACCTCCCGGAGCTCGGGCCAAGGAGGTGAGCACAACACATTTAAAAATAATCTACAGCACTTATTGTAATTTATTAACTTTTAGAGTGCTTTGATGGCCTTCAAGGTGGCTTTGGGCAAATGGGACCGGGATCCACTGCAGCACTCTTGTAAGGCCTACTGCACTGCTCGCCAGGAATTGGCGGTACTTCTAACCCTCAAGCATCCCAACATTGTGCCTTTAGTGGGAATTTGCATAAAGCCATTAGCTTTGGTTCTGGAACTGGCGCCTCTAGGTGGTCTGGACGCTCTGCTACGGCAGTACCGACGCAGTGGCGCACACATGGGTCCGCATACTTTTCAGACTCTAGTACTTCAGGCGGCTCGGGCAATAGAGTATCTGCATCGCAGAAGAATTATTTACCGTGATCTGAAGTCAGAAAATGTCCTGGTTTGGGAGCTACCACAGCCACATACCGATGACAGCCCCCGAAATCATGTGCACATTAAAATTGCAGACTATGGTATCAGTAGGCAGACAGCTCCCAGCGGAGCCAAGGGATTTGGCGGTACGGAGGGTTTCATGGCCCCCGAGATCATACGCTACAACGGAGAGGAGGAATATACTGAGAAGGTGAGTAATAAATTCGTTAATCTTTATTACTATTTCTTGAAGGACTTTTTAATTTAAGGTGGACTGTTTCTCCTTTGGCATGTTCATATATGAGAATATTAGTTTACGACAACCCTTCGAGGGACATGAGTCCATTAAAGAGTGTATTTTGGAGGGCAGTCGCCCGGCTTTGACTCAAAGGGAGACCCAGTTTCCCAACTTGCTGTTTGGATCTCATGGTCCTGTGTTGGCACGAACAGCCGCGCCGTAGACCCACAGCTAGTCAGATCGTATCTATACTTAGTGCTCCAGAGTGCATTCATCTGTTGGATGTGGTTGCCATGCCGCATAGCGAGAAGATTGTTTGCGGCGTATTTCAGTCTATGGTCGGCCTTGGTGACGAGGAACGGTGTGGCCTAGAGCTGTGGCTTCCGTCATTCGGCTCCCGTATCGACATTTTGGACTGCACTCCATCGGGAAATCTGCTGCAGTGTAACAGCATTAGTTGTTCTCCTCAGCCACAGGTAGCTCCACCTAAGACACCCGAAAACGGTGCCCAATCACGAGCCCGTTCCGCTCAACGTTCGCCCAAGGTGAACATGCTGTGCTGCTGCCTGGTGGGCGACGCTATCTGGATGGGTGATGTTTCTGGCAACCTGCATGCTTACCTCACATCCAGCTATGCTCACTTATTTTCATATATGCTCGATCCGGCCATTAAGTCTGCTGTGATCAGTCTAGTCTACATGGAAAGGATAGCTCGCGTAGCCGTGGGCACACACAATGGTCGGGTGTTCCTTGTGGACGCCACGCAAGTTCCCAGCAATTGCGCCTTTGCCGAGGGTTCCTTTGTGCTCACGGAGATTTGTTCTGGTTTTGTTTTGCACGCCGCTTGCTCCGTTTTTGTTGATGGGTAAGTTTAAAAATATATAATCCATGGGACTAGCGTTAGTTAATACTTTCTTTCTGTAGAACTTACGAATTGTGGTGCGGTGAAATAGCTGGAAAGATAAATGTATTCCCATTAAACGAGACCGGAGTGTCTGGTCATCAGGCCCTGTGTCATAGTGAGGAACCAAATCTAATCGAGGACGTCAAAGTGGCCCGCATGTGCAGCAATGATAGTCATGTCTTCAGTTGCTTGTATCCTGGCTGTATGGTGTATCAATGGGGAGTGGTTTCCAAACGAATTGAAAACAAGCTGGACTGTTCAAAGCTACTGCCTTGCTCTGAATCCTTGCAAAGTATAGCGATTGATGAACATGTAAACCTGATAAAGTGTCAGATCTCAGCGCTGGCAGCTCACGATACGGAACTGTATATTGGAACTACTTGGGGTTGCTTAATTGTGGCTGAGTTGCACACTCTGCGGCCTATCAGCGTTTTCCGACCGTATGAAAATGAAGTAAGATAGATATCTCTATTTTCTTTTTTATATACTAATTTCTCTGATTCTCCTATAGATAAAATCCATAATAACGCTTTCTAATGACAAGGTGCCCCTGATCGCGACGATCGGTAGGCGGTATCGATCTTTGATCTCACGCTATGTGGACTCCGCAGAAACATCCAGCATGTGCTCTGCCGTCAATACACCCACACATGGTGCAGCCAAATCCGTGCCACCGGCGGATGTGGACAATCACATCCACTGCCTGCTGTGGCGGGCCAAGCACTGGACCTAAATTCGATCTCATTCGAAGTATTTGTTGACGTTTTTAATAATACACTAACACACACGCAATTGTTAAGAAAGGTGCTAGATGTGAGGAATAGTTGCTTGGAAAGATTTTGTGACAGCCAAATAGAATCAGTATATTTTATTTTTGGGTGGTTTATTGATCAAAAGTAAAAACATTTAGTGTTTTTATATCTCATTTATAAAAGCTTTTTATTTAGTTTGTTAATTAATGTTTTTTTCACTTCTTTATTTATTTATAATTATTTATTGTATTCTGCATTCTTGACATTTCCAGTAGAGCTGAATAAAAAGTAATATTGATTCGATAAAAGTCGCAATTTTTAAGGAGCTATTTATTGAAATAATAGGGAAATTCAATGCCTTTTAAATTATGTGTATTTTTTGTTAAGGAATTTTTTATTACGATTTGGCAGTAACATTCCGTCTAACATCTAGAAACTTTAAAGTTCTATCAAAATAAAATTTAAATTTTCGTTTGATAGTGATGGATTTTTGTTTGTAAAGTAATGCTTTGCATACATTACTTAGCTATTTGGAAGCATGTCCAAAGAAGGTCATCACCACCATTAAAAAAATTTTGCGATTATTGTGATTCTTGGACTACAGAAGCTACAGACATTGAGGACTGACGGCTGCGGGAGTAAATGGAAGCGGAGTTTTTTAGCACCCGCACATAGTTATTAATATCGATAACGAATTGAAACTCCTCCTTAAGAGCGTCGCGCAGTGGAACCTTAAAAGTAATAGACATTAAAAGTTGATTATCGTTAGGAAGCTGTAAACCCACTCGATAATGATGAGCTTTCTTCATCACAAACAAGACCCAACTTATAATCCCGTAAAACAGGGCGCAGCAACTTCCGACAAGGAGTACAAAGAATACACCCTCCAAGTTGTTCATGTCCAAACGGCGTGGCATCTGGAGCATCCTCTTTCGTGGCACAAATTCCAGTGCCCACCTCATTCCACCACTTATTCTTCATCTTCTCCAGCACTCCCTGCTCCTGAAGTTCCAGCAGTGCATTGTTGAACTTATCTCGATGTGGCCAATCTAAAGAACATCGAAATCGAATGTTTAAAAGAAACTTTATGTAAATTCTTAAATTACTCTTTCTCATGGCTATTCCATAGCCCTTCTCGTCCAATGCATCGCCAATCTTTTTTAGATTGCATTCTCGCTTGGTATTATACTCAATGGATGTGGATTCCATCAGGAAGGCATAATGAGTGTGTGTTTTTACGCGTTGTACTCCTTCCATATTGTCAGAGGTGAGATGTTGGGGGTTATCGGTCATGAATTTATTCATCTTCTTATACCTTTCGTCCTCAGATGTCTAAAGAGTATAAAATATTAATATTTACATAATAGAAAATATAGACTTGGCAAATACTATAAAAAAGTTCCTGGTAGATCCAAATTTCTTTGCACCGTAAACCACACCATCTTTGTTATCGGCCAAATCGTCAACGCTGTTGATCAAACTCTGTGGCTTTTCGATGGTCAAGAAGGCGGCCAAGTTGGCGGTGTAAGAGGAGACCACAATGAGGGTAAAAAACCACCAAAACGTGGCCACAGTTCGAGTCGATAAGGCTCTGTCAAAGTAAAGAGACATATAGAAATCGCTTAATTTGGATTATTATTTATACTTGGGCCCGATTTCGGAACCCTGCTGAAGCAGAGCACCAGTGGTAAACCAAATGGAGTTGCCTATGGTAAATTGATTTTCTAGCTCCTCTGGCTCTTCGATACATGGATACGGGTTATCCCATTCGCTTGGCGAGAGACGACCCAATATGAAGAAACTCAGTGAGACACCCATAAAAGAAAAGCCCAGAAACCACCAGACCTCTTCGGAAAACGGATCCATAAAGGTAAAAAGCTCTGGGGTGGCTTTTTGTGGCTTCAAATAGAGAATGGCAATGCCTGGAAAGAATTATCCTATTATCAAGTTTAAGTCAAGAGGAAAAATTTAACACATGCCTAGATTCATAAAGGGAATGGTAAAGTCTACGGCTTCTTCGCGTTCCGAGGTAATGGTCAAATCTGTGACGGCCAAGTCTGCTCGCTGGAAGAAAAATGTTTATCTATCCGTTGTTCAAAAGCTATGAACCTCTCCTACCCCAATCATGATTTCCCTCAACATGCCAGTAGATATATTGGAGGTTTTGTTATAAGATCCATATTCATTACCACCGTTTACAAATGTATAATTAAAGCCCAGCTTATCCGCCAGCTCTTTTATCAGATCCACACCATAGCCCTCATATTGACTATTGCCCTCAAGTTGCTTGTAAGTCTCCACCAGTTGGGCATAAGGTTTGTTCTGTAATTCCCTTCTGATAGCATATTGTTCAAGTAGTTTGAATTGCAGTGCCACCTACCGGTACCGAAAGTAAGATAATGAAGGTCTTATTGGCCAGTGAATTGTCGACGTTATCGAATTGGGCTGTGGTTGGTGCCAGACGCTGAGGTCTGTACTCCCTCTGCTCGTCCCAGGTTCCAACCTTCACAATCCCCGAGGGCTGCAGCTCGATTACATCCAGATGGTAGCCCTTACGTACGTTTCCCTCAAAGTATATTGGTCCCGTTAGCAGGTGATCTGTAAGACGGAGCTGAAATAGTCAAAAGAACTGTAAGAATAGTTATTTTCTAAGAGACGTTTTTATTCCATTCACCGTTCTCATGTAATTTTTGAAAGAGGAACCATCATCCCGGACACTTTCCGTTCTCTGCGAGCAATTCTGGGGGACTGGCTTAAATGGAAGATTCTTGAGGGTCTGTGCGAACAACTGAACAGCATCGTATGTCAGGGCCATTTCCACGGTAATAGGACAGGAACCTTAAAGAAAGTGTAAAACAATATGTATAAAAAGAAATTGTATTTTAATTTATGTTTTTACCATTTCGAAACTCATCCTGGTCGGTGGGGTAGCCTAATTTCATGAGCAACTCTTTTACGGCCATCTTCTCAGGCGAAAACAATCGCAGTCCAGTTATATTGGCTTCACTGTACTTGTTCTCCTCTAAATCAAAAGAATGAAAGTCCAGGTTGCCAATAATGTATTTGTAGTCCTCGTTGATAATGCCCACTTGTTGAGCTTGGTTCAAGAACTCTGGCATCGTTTCGCTGGAGCCTACAACCACAATTCGGTTATCCACGGATTTTCGCACTCGCCGGAGGACTTGTTTGTAATTGCCATTCAGTTGCATGTCGTATCGCAATACCGTGACCACGGGTCCATTCATCCCGAACAAGGTGGTTAGCTCATTCAAAATGTTCAGGTAATCAGCTGTAGGCGATATGGGAATTATAAAAGAATCCTATTTATGTTGCCAACAAATAGCAGCTCACCCGACTCGTAGAGGAAAATGAAGCGTGACCAGTTAAACTCCGTGATAAGGCTATACAGGGCTTTGGCCAAATCCGCCGGGTGAGGATGCAGATTAAAGCCTTCCGCGTACTCGCTCATGTAGGAGTAGATGTGGGGTATATCCATGGCATCGCATATGGACATCAGGTGGACGGCAGTGTGCCGAGATGAGGGTCCAAAGACCCCGGCGATTCCCAGTCTAAATAGTAATAAAAATAATGAAAATTGCGATGTTTACATTAAGATTGTATATAAAGAGCTCATTAACTTAGTGTATTAAATAGTTTAATACATCATTCCGTATGTTTTGATGTCTCTTTTGAGAAGAAAGTGCTGAACAAGTAGTTGTACTCTACTTTCTACTTAAGACTTTACTCGAAACACATATGTAGATAAAACAATCTTTATAGTTTCGACTTACCTCCAGCATCCTGCACAATCTGCCATAGCTTTGATACGCATCCCCGTAGTTAACCTCTTCCTTCAGCGATGTCAAGGTGGTACCCACTTCCTCGTTAGCCACTTCGATGGCATGGTCAAAGACAATGTTCATTTGCTCCGTGTTCTGGTCGGTGAGCAGGCCTGAAATCGAGAAATTCTCTCACATCCACTTTGGGCCATTTCTCTCTTGCCGGTTTGTTTATAAACAACAACTTGACCTAATCATCCCATTCAGTTGGAAAACCCAAACAAACAAACAAATACTAAAACCGTTTTTATGAGCTTTTTGCGTTGATGGAACGAACAGCTTGTTCTCTTTATGAGAAATTAAAAATAAATCGCGCGTTGAAAACAGTTTGTTTGGAAGTGCACGACAAAAAAAACATAAAATACAAAAATGCTCAGGCGACACACATTTTCCATTTGAGATTTTTTTTTTTGGTTCTTCTCGAAAAATATTATACTTACCAATTGGGACACTTCCCATACTTTGGAAATTGTCGTACCCGCCAAAGTTTTCATACTGAGCGTTGTTAACTGTAATTTTTATGCAAATAATAATGCACGAAATTATAAAATGATTGGTAAACATTTTATATGGTTTTTATTTAAAACATATATATCTATATATATATATATATAAATATAGTTTCAGAGATAAAAAAACATGTGCGTTCCCAACCGAATACTTCGAGTAAAAAGCCACAACTGACGTTTGCCTCCAAAATGTCAATTTGGAAAACATTTTGAGTGAAATATTTTAAAAGCTTTTTTGAAACTTTGGAGAGAGTATTAATCAAAAATATCTCAATATTAATCCTCAACCGGCACGCTCTCCTCTGAATCCGTTTTGAGGGACTCTATAGACTGAGATGAATTCCGACTACGTGAGTATATAGACTGGGCGCTTTTTAGGGCTCTTTCATTTTCCGAGAAATGAATGACAATTTTGAATTCTTCAGCCAATGCATCGCCAAAGGGAACCTAGGAATTTAATTTTTTAAAAGTAATAATGAGTAAGTTAATATGGTTTCATACCGCATAGAGTTTTGCTTTCTTAAAAACAAAGTAACACCAACAAAGGATGGCGACAATCATGGAAATGCAGGATCCAATGGCAAGGACAGCGTAAATACCACTTAGATTATCCACGCCCAACTCAGAAGGACCGTCACTGTCGCTTTTTGCCTGGAACAGCATTGTTATTGTTGGATAATTTTTCAGTTACCAACAACTTACACTACAAACGCCGGCACCAACTTCGTTCCACCATTTGTTTTTCAACCTGGCCAAGACGCCCTGCTCCTGCAGTTCCAACAGAGCATTGTTGAACTTATCGCGATAGGGCCAATCTGTTAGAGGTTTGTTAATACCCTAGCTTAATGTTACAATGTTTCTACCCACTTTTCACCATAGCTATGCCGTAACCCTTCTCATCCAGTGGGTCACCCACTTTGGTCAGATTGCACTCCCTAACCGTATTAAATTCAATGGAGGTGGATTCCATGAGGAATGCATACTTTGTGCCTGCTTTCACCCTGTCCACGCCATCCTGATTGTTTTCCATCAGCATTTCAGGGTGAGCTAACATGTATTCGTTCATTTTCACATAGACTGGATCCTCCGATGTCTTTGGATTTTATAGAATTATATACCACCTCAGGTTATAACATAAGCCCCAAAAACTTACAAGAAAAAAATTCCGGGTGGATCCTGTTCGCTTGGCACCATACTGGACATCATCTTTATTATCGGCCAAGTCTTTAACGCTGTTAATAGGACTAGTGGGATTCTCTATGGTCAAGAAGGCAGCCAAGTTGGCCGTGTAGGAAGATACCATAATCAAAGTAAAGAACCACCAAATGGCAGATATGGTGCGTGTGCTGAGAGCTCTAAATATAAGAAAATATTTTGTAATCAAATTCTAAGACAATATATAGATTTTTTACTTGGGAGCAATTTCAGAGCCTTGTTGCAATAAAGCTCCCGTAGTAAACCATAGGGAATTGTTGATGGTGAACTGATTTTCTAGTTCTTCTGGTTCTTCAATACAGGGATAAGGGTTATCCCACTCAATGGGCGAAAGTCGTCCTATTATAAAGAAACAGAGCGATACTCCCACATAGGCTATGCCCAAGTAAAGCCATACTTCGGAGGAAAATGGGTCCATAAAGGAGAATAGAGCGGGAGGAGCCTTTTGGGGTTTAACATATAAAATTGCTATGCCTGGTAAATCCAAACAAATTATTAGAAAATGATTATTTGTTTTTTTAAGGATATCTTACCCAAATTCATAAATGGTATAGAGAAATCGATGACTTCTTCTCTCTCCGATGTTATGGTAAGATCAGTGATGGCCAAATCGGCTCTCTTTTAAAAAATATAAATAAATATTATAAGATTATTAAATTTGCTACCACACTCACTCCTTCAACGATTTCCTTAAGCATTCCTGTCGTGGAGTTAGTTGTCTTATTAAAGGAACCATAGTCATTGCCACCATCATGGAAGGTAAAGTTAAAGCCAAGTTTATCAGCCAACTCTTTGATTAGATCCACACCATAACCCTGGTATTGATTGTTGCCAATTAGTGTGTCAATACTCTCGACGAGACTGGCATAAGGCTTGGTCTGTAATTTCATGGGTAACATTAAAACAATTGGAAATCTACACATATGTTAATGATAGTTTACCGCAACAGATATTAGAACCCTGAAGGTTTTGTTGACCAGAGAACCGTCATCAATATCATTAAAGTTTATAATTTGAGGTGGTCGTTGGAACTCAAAGTCCTTGCCATCCTCCCAAGTGCCAACCTTGACCAATCCACTAGTTTGCAACTCGATGACATCGAATTTAAAACCCTTTCGTGCATTTCCCTCGAAATATATGCGACCTGTGATGGTTTTTTCTTTGATATCCATCTGTTTAAAGTTATTAGGTTTATTTTTATTATTGATTATTAAAGAGTACAAACCGATCTCATGTAGTTTCTAAAAGTTGAACCATCAGGTTGAACGTTGTCATGTCGCTCGGAACAGTTGAGCACCTGGGGCTGATAGGGCAGGTGCTTCGTTGTCTCTGCAATCACTCGTACTGCATCATAGGTGAGAGCCATGGACATCGTAATAAAAGTGGAACCTTTAAAAAAGGAACACACATTACTTATAAAGCTAGAACTTTGAATATATTTTCTTACCAGTATTTTCCGGTTCGCTTTCTCCAAGTTCCTGGTGCAACTTTTCAACCAGATCTCGTACTTCCTCCTGATCGGGTGAAAACATTCGTATGCCCGTAATGTTTGCTTCACTGTACTTGTACTCCTCCAGCTCGAATGTATGCAAGTCTAAGTTCCCTATTACGTAGGTATAATCCTCGTTCATGATGCCCACCTGTTGGGCCTGACGAAGGAGCTCGGCCACGCCCTCTGTTGAACCCACGACTACTATGCGACTATCCTCCGATTTTCTGATGCGTCTTAGGACAGATTTGTAATTACCATTCAGATTCAGATCGTAGCGCATCACTTTAATGACAGGTCCCTTGACTCCATACATGGCCATTAAGTGATCCAAAATCTTCAGGTACTCAGCTTAAATATAAAACCAGGAATAAGTTAAGAGTCATAGTACTTTCAAAGCATCACAAACCGGATTCATAACAGAATATGAAGCGAGACCAATCAAACAGATTGACGATGTCGTAGAGAACGTGGGCTATATCTTCAGGGCTCGGGTATAGGTTGAATCCATCCGGATGGGCACTCCAAGAGAGATGCGGGTATATAAATGGTATGTCCTTGGAGTCGCAGGCATTTAGCAGATGAGAGGCCGTGTGCTTGGCAGCCGGCCCAAAAACGGCACCCACTCCACCCTAGAAAAGAATGTTAATCAGGTCGTTTTTTGAATTTGGCAAGAAATTGCAGATGGCTCACCTGCATCAGCCTGCACAGTTGGGCAAAGGCCTGAACGGAATTTCCATAGGCAACCTGCTCTGTTTCCCCGGCCAAAGGAACACTCAGCTCATTGTTTACCACCGATATGGCGTGCTCGAAGGTCTGTCGGATTCTATCGGTGGCGTCGTCTGTGATAAGACCTGTGTGCATAGTTTGAGTCAAAAGGAAATTCGGGAGAGTAAACTGCTTAAGCTCTTCGGAGTCTTTCACTCACCAAGGGTAATGGATTGGCCACTGGATGAACCGTAATTACTGCCCCCATAAAATTGTCCGTGCACCTTATTGAGGCCAAGAAAAATGACCAGTATCCAACAGATCTGCATTGCATTCAATTATTGAAGTTTCGATTTAGAATTTTTCATTTCCCTCCGCTCGTTTTATGTTTTTCCAACAATGTGTATATATAAATTGATATGTATATTTTTGGATCACCCACTGGCGCGATGTCTTTGAAGTTCTTTAGTCGACGAGAGCACGTTTCTAACTGAATGGCCACTCATAATTTCTTTAAAAATTCCACTCAAAAGTTTTCCAAAATTGTGTTTTTTGAACTTGAAAGCTGCCAGTGTTGAGCAATCATCCTAACATTAAAAGTCATCTTGTTTAATAATATACTCGTACATTTAATTAAAATTATCACAAACATAAATTGCATCGTAAACTAAACTATTGCACGTTAAAAATATAAATAGTTAAAGGCTAAAAAATATATAGAGATTTGAAAGTTAATTTTTGGCACATTATCTTTGTTGTGATGGTAGTCAATAAATCCACTTCGATCCGCGGCATATCTTTGGGAATATCCAGCTTGATTTTTCCGTAAATTGAACTCTGAAATAAAGATGGAAATCTTAACAGAATGAAATAATGTTTTTGTACAGATAAGCTAAATGTATAATAAATAGAACTACTCCAACCGCGACTGAAATTCCAAGTGGCACGCATCAATTGCAGTTTTATTGGAAAGACAATTGGAGAAGTTGCTTCCCCGGGCAAGAAACAGAGCCAACTGCTGGGCATAAATCACCATTAATTAAGTGAGTGCGCCCCAATTGAAGTGCGATGTCGCTGTTGGCACAACAGTTAGGCGGGGAATGGGTAACGAGCTACAAGGAATCTGCAGCAGACACCACCACTTTCACCATTAAGAGGCGCCTAAAGTGGAGCAATTAGAGCCTCGACAGGGAGGTTCTACTCGGATGGCAATCATCTGTGAACTCACCAACTGGCCTGCCTTCGGTCTTTGGTTTCTAGGACTGCGTGGCATACGACATGTTTAATACTCTTAGGCTATAGAAGTAGTCTCGGGAACTACCAAACGCTGCACTTCTTGTGGGGATTCATGGGGGATCCCAGGGGACAATTGAACTCTCGCGCAAAGTCAAAAGAGTTCGATAGCGTTCCAATCACCCGGAAGCGACCTGGACTATGAATGGCTGTGTTTAGCTTATTCCGTATGGCTTCCGGTCGCATCGCTCCGCACCACACCTGGCCGAAATTGAGGAAGAACAGCTGCGGCCCTGTCATATTAAGACCAGGTAGGATCTCGTCTTGGACTTCGTTGGGATGCTCCTCCAGCCAGCGCTGGTAGGCGTGGAAGGCCTGGCGCAATCCTCCATTGTCCGCTATATTCTCACCTGAAATCAATAAATAAAATATTTAATAAATAACACAGAATCAATGCTAAAATAATCCTAAATATTTCCTGGCACGATCAACACCAATAGACTTACCCTGCGTACTCTCTCCATTCAGGACAATGCCCACCTCCTCCACAGTGTAGTTGCTGTACTGGGCGATAATGCAGCGGGCTCTCTCATCGAATCCTCGGATAGAGGAGTCAGTCCACCACTTGTGAATGTTGCCATTCCGATCGAAGAGCCTTCCCTTGTCATCGAAACCGTGGGTCAGTTCATGGCCTATGACAACACCAATGCCGCCAAAGTTCAGCGATTTGGGAAAGTGGCGGTGGTAGAAGGGCGGCTGCAGGATACCGGCTGGGAACATGATCTGGTTCTTGTTGCGACTATAATAGGCATTAACGATGGCAGGAGCTGTTTGCCAGTTGGTCTTGTTGACCCTCTCGTGCAACTTGGCCTGCTCCGTTTTGGCCGTGTGTAGGAGTACGTTCAGTGTGTTCTCGAAGTACTTGTCCGGATGAATTTCAATGCCCGCGTATTTGCTATTCAGCTCACCGGGATTGAGAATAAAGTCTGGGTAGCCGATCTTAAGGGACATAGCGTTGACCTTCTCCTCTGCCAATTGCTTGGTGGTGTCGTCCAGCCAATCAGTGGTTTTCAGGATATCTCGGAAGGCTTGCTGCAGATCGTGGGTCATGCTCAAGGTGTCCCGCTTGCTATTGTTGTCGAAGTATCGGGTGACAAACATGGAGCCCACGGCCATGCCCATATTGGTGTTTACTTGGGCAATGCACACCTTCCACCGCTGGGGACTCTCTTCCCGGCCAAAAAGTGCATGATAAAAGTGCTGTTTAATGTCATCGAATCGATCGTCTACATTGTTAATCCGATGTCGCACAAAACGCCACATCATGTAATTGGCCACCGTTCGGGGATCGGTCTCATCTAAAAGAGTCACCAGCTTGCTCATGTATTCCACCGCGTATATAACCACCTCCTCGGAGCCCAGGACCTCGCGCTCCTGCAGGCTCTGGAGATAAGCACGCCACTTGATCTCTGGCACCACCGCCTGCAGCTGTTCCAGAGTCATGCGTTTGTAGAGCTATGTGGGGATAGATAATTTAAAATATAATTCAATCTATTTCTAAACTTTATGTATTGATCCCTATTGAAAGCATTAATTAACATATTAACAGGGAAAACCCGAAATTGCAAAAATTATAAAATAATAATACTATTGATAAAATTTTGGGTTTCTGAGAGTTTTCTGAGTCTAGATAAAGCATTTAGTAAGATTGATTACAGTTTGGTCTACAAATATCTAAACCGTTTGGTGATACTAACAAATAATCTATTTGTAATCATAAGAGAAATGGCTTCGGATCCCACTCACCTTGGTCACGTTGAGTCGCTGCTCTGCTGGCGCCGTAATCCCCGCCAGTAGAGTCTCAAATGCCACCAGCTCGCTGGCCACCCGTTGGGCGTCCGCCCTGGAGGCGCCCATCTTGTGCATCACTTCGGACATGTAGCGCTGGTAGGCCTGCAGATATTTGGCGTTACTTGGCTGAAGGAAGTACTCCCTGGTGGGCAGTCCAAGACCCGTCTGATCAAATTGTACAATGTTTTCCTCGGAGTTCTTAATGTCGGCGCCCACCCACTGAACGATTAGGATGTCATTGTTATAGCGCCTTAAAGTGGCAGCCAGCACCTGCCAGTTGAAGTGGGAATCACTCCATTGTGGCTCCAAGACAGGCCAGCCGCCCAGTTCCCGGATGAGCGTGTGCAGAGGTTCCAATCCCCGCTTAGCTAGAACTGCACTATTTACACAGGAGCGGTACAGGTTCTTGGCCTTCAGTTGGGCGTTATTTTCGTTCTTCAGAAAATCTGTATGGGCATGCAGATGCTCTTCGATATCCGCTTTGTCCTTGGACTTATCTTTTGGCAGAACGGCTGGTAGAGCAGCTTCTTCCTCTTTGGTCTTCTCACGTGGTGCTTCGATGAGGCGTTTCCTTTTAGTTCCATTTGTGTACCTTTTGTAGCGCACCAGGACACGATTGAGCAACTGCCTCTTGCTGACGATGTGCCGTCGGAGACGTTCCGCCGTAAGTTCCGCCGCCTGGTCAGCTTCTCCTTCACCTTCGCCTTGTTCATTTAGTTTGAAAAGAGTATTCCGCACCGGACTCTTTCGTAATTCACCAGCGGGATGGCGAGGTGTAGTCTTCTCCAAGAGATTTCTCAGCACCAAGTCCAAACTCTCGCGCAGCATTTCGAAGGTGTCGAAGCCGGCTTTATCCTTGGGTATCGGGTGCAATCGTTCCCAGTTACCGCAGGCGTACTTGTAGAAATCCACGCAGGGATCCACTTTGTTGTCCATGTAGCGCTTCATGGTCTTGGCTTGGGTCATTCGAATGCCATCCCGTGTGCCCTCTTCGTTCCAAAAGCTCTGCAGGGCAGCGGTGGCTTCACTGATCTCGGAATTCGTCTCTTCTGCATGTCGTTCAGCCTCACGCCGCTCCCGTGTCCTACTCCTCTCTAGCCAGTAGGGAGCAATATCCTCGTAGCGCTTCTTTTGTCGCTGGTAGACTTCTTCGTCCAGCGGTTTGATGTCCAGGTCAATACCGCTGCCGAAGCACTCGCGTGGAATGCCCAGGGGAAGGAAGGACGTACGGGAATCTTTCATCAGGGTGTTGCGCTCCTCCAGCTCCAATGACTCTCCATTTCCGTATCGATATGGCTGACAGCGACGCGCCCTTTCTGCGGCCTGGAGTTGCAGTTGGGCCCTCTTGCTCGCCGGCAGGAGGAACTCCTCGTTGATCAGTTCATTATAGGTGCTGCCCTCCGGCAGAAGGGCTTCATAATCATCCATATAAGCAGGAACCCCTTCTTGGTGTTCTCGCATCCTTTGCTCGTTCAGTTTCAGCGCAGCCAGCATCCCGTCCAGCCGCATGATCAGGATGAGCACCAGGGTCAGTGGCAGCATAACCACTGGAAGAAGTAGAAGCAATTTGCAGCATGTCAGGCCCGGACACCATTGTACCCGACCTGTCCTCTGATTAACACCAAGACCCAGTTTAACGCTCCTGGATTTGGAGGACGAAGGCGAGCCAGGAACCTTAGACGGAGCCTCGTGCACCGAGGGCATCGCTAGCTTCAGCTGGCTATGGCGACTCATCCCACGAGCAGCCGTAATTGAGGAGCTCGCTGGCCTTTATACTTTAATTAAACGCAATTTTTCGCGCAACGCAGTTTGGCGAACCGAACGGGACGTAACTTAAACCGAGAATGGAGAGCCGGAGAACGGCGAACCAGAGACCGGAGACCGAAGGTTGAAGATCGGAGGCTGGAGAACGGAGACTGCGGCCGAGTCGCGCTCGCATTTCCAACTAAAAGCGCCGCATGGGGATGCGCAATCACGGCGCGCGACAACCAATTGAGCGGCGGCAGCGGCAAATAGCAACAAGCGATATCAGCGGCGGCACAGCAGCAACATCAGTCGGCGCAGCAGCAACTAGCAACATGCAATCAATGGATCTTCAGCTCTAGGGGTCAGGGGTGGTACTACTTAGGCTGATCTTAAACTTTTTCGACTTAGGACATTAAGCATTTCATATTTCCCAACTAATACCTGCACTGATTTGACCCATTAACCTCAATAGATTCATTAATTCGCCTTTATATCTCTGTTAATCAACAGGAACGGCAACAAAGCAGATCGTTCAGAAATTTGTGTCATTATCACTGGACTAGCAATAACAAACAATAACAAACGCGCCTCTCTAGCAATAGGTACACGGAAAAAACAAACTAATAACACGAAACTGATTGGTTATAAAGTATGTATGGAATATACTTGTATATATTAAAAATCTTATGAATGACTAATAAATTCTTATCTCTGAAATGTTATAAATTATTTATTTTGATTTTCTTATCTGTAACTCACATAAATTTTAATCTTACGTTTGATTATAGAAATCAATTTATACGAAAAAACAAAAGATAGGATGCTTATAGTCTTCATTTTAATTTAGTAATAATTTTCTAATCGCAATATATATTAAATATTATTTAATAATATTACTTTCTTAAGATTGCACAAAAAAGATAAAATAGCCTTTAAATGCCATTAAATTTAGTTAAAGCGATAAAAATATTCCAGAAATAATTTTTTTTTTGGCAAAGTAAAAATTGAAATAAAAGAGCAACTTAAGTTATTGATATGGAAAATAGCAATTTAACTTTCAACTAAGCGGCTTTATTAAATTAGTTATATTGTTTTTTTCGTGTGCACAGCAGCCACCCAAGCACCGCCACATTGACCTCTGCCCAAAGAGCGTCTAAATTCAATCAATTTAATTTAATTTCACAAAACAATTGCACAGACCGGCGACGGACTGCTGGCCACGGGTTACATACTCGAGTGGACCCACTGGATCGGAACTAAGCTTTTGGTATGGCAAGGAATGCCCTGATACTCTGCAGATACAGATATAGAAGATGCATTCCCGTTGAAATCGCCCTTTAAGGGCTGTCAGCAGATCTCATAACTCAACCGTTAAGCCTGACCATTCAAGTGTAATGGAGATGGCGTCATTGGGCGCCACTAACTACTCCAGTCACACGTGTTTTTCGGGAAGGAGAGATTGGGCTGTAATCCCCATCACACTGCCACTATTTAAAGGGAATTAAAGCTCTGCGAGGCGTAACCGAAACCCAAATTGGCCCTTCAAAGTGCGACGGGGCGCGGGCAATTGGTTTGGGTTAGTATTACAAGATTATGCGGGTAATTGGTGGCATGCGATGCCATCTAATGTGCCTAGAACACCGCTTCGCCGCCTCCTTCTCTACGCCCGTAAACGTTCTCACTTTGCATATATACCTATATATGCCCATTTTGAAGGGGGAGATTTTCCGGGGAGGGATGGCTTTTGTTCACGTCATGTATGAATTTCAGTCTCATGAACACCGAACACGCAGGTGTATCTGTGTGAGATGAGTGCGAATGTATCTGTATTTATGCTGTCGGGGGAAATGGCGATTGCTTCATATGCTAATTTTAGCCTTAAACCTTTTAATTAGCGACTATGACCGAGATTAGACTACCGACTACTCGTCGTCCATTTGTCAATCCCACATGCTGCTGCTGCTGCTGCAGTATATGCTGCTATATATGGTCCATGCACTGTGCAATAACTGCAACATACGATATGTGTGTTTTCGAAAAGGGGGGTAGAGATGGCCTGCAGCCCCTAGAGCAAATGTTATGCAATTTGCCAACGCTCCGATGGATTCTAATTTCAATTGGCTTTTGTGTTCACTTGATCTGCGGTTCAAGACCAACCCGTCGACGCATGACCCACTGAGCCAACATGCGACGATACACAAACACACAAACACACATTCGATTGCGGCATCAGGTTTGCAAGAGGTAAACGAACGAATCGTGAATCAATCAATTGATGTAAATACAATATACTAGGGGATCGGATCGAGTATATCGCATTTGCTTGTGGCCGGGATTCAGCGGGGGTAATGACGACTGAACTCGGGTTATCGACACCAGATTAATTAAACTAAATAAGTTAATCATTAGATGATAATCATATGTTCGGCAAGCTTGAACTCATTCATTATAACGATTTAACTTCAAAAAAGTTCATTATAAAGCACACTCGTGATATATATGTGTGGTTTAATATATAAATATTATAAAAATAATCATTAATTTAAAAAATCGTGTGTTTTTTTCAAGATTTCTTAAAAAATCAAAGTAGAAGTATTTTTGCAAACACCTACAAACTTGAAAAAGTATTCTTCATATTTAAACGAGTCTTTTTTAAGTTCAATAAAACTGGTGCATTGACAGAATAACTAGATGCCCACAAAACCGAGGGAAATAAAAGCTTTCAACTGAACTTCAGTCAGTTGAAGTTCCTTTCTGCATTTTCGCACTTCAAGGTTACCCTAAAACAAGTTTCCACCTGGATTGCAACTCATCGTGATGCATGAAAGTGTTTCTATCTTTTCTCTCTTAGGAAAACCGGTCGACAGGCAGCAATGTCGAACTGTTGTACATGGAAAATTCGTATAACCTAAATTGGAATTCGGCGCCCCAAAAGAAAGGTGTAATTCTCACTCACACTTTATTGCCCGTTGCGTTTGCACCACAATGCACCAATTAACACTTCAGATTCCAGGCTTCTGGCTTGTACGAGATTTCCAGAGCGTTACTGCAGCGTTGGGAAGTCGTTCTAAAACTGATTTAGCTTTTAAATGGTAGAAGTACTAAGCTGCTAAGGCCGTACTTGGTAGTGATCCATCTGCTTGTTATCGCTCCGGGGTTTTAACACTGAGCTGTCTGCTGTTTTACGACCACGAGATGATATAGAACGTTGAGTATGCAACTGGTAAGGTCTTATTCTCAATCCGTCGACGGCAATGCATGTGATTCATGGCCACTCACCTGTCCATAGGAGATCGCCAGAAACAGAATTTTAGGCCCATTGACATTCGTCACAAAGCAGCCTGTGAATGTGATGTGATGTTTCATTGGGGATGTTTTCATGAAACTAATTTTTATAATAACATTTTTATCTTAATTTAACACAAATAAAATTACTAAGCCAGGAGATATTTATGTAACAACTTCATTAATATTTCGAAACTAATTATCATAAAATGTTTATTAACAACAAACTGATAATATATATATTACTTGTTTTAAAACCATCAGTTAACATCTTCAGATTAATAATATGGCGTTTTATTAAAAAATATATAAATAATCTTATTATTTTTGCAACACCAGATAAAGTTCCTTAATTATAATCTTTAAAACTTTTCTCAGTATGGGTATTAATCAATATTATGTAAATAATTCCGTGCGACTTGCTAATAATTCAAACACTTACAATTCTTGTTCATACCTCTGTAAATGCTAATTAAATTCATCAAAACAAAATGTGCTATTGACAACTCCATTTGACAGTCGGGCAGTTTTATTAATTTAAAGCCCGCTAAGAGATCATAAATCAATGGAGTTTGCCTTTGTCTGTGCTCAGGCCCACAATCATTGATTTATCCACTCACGTTGTTTGCTGTCAGCTGACAAGAACATTTCAATTACATTTTGATTGGCTAAGACCACACCTGAATATGACTATTGTCAATCATGTTTGTTTAGCGATGTTCTGTTCGTGTAATAAAAAGATTTCCCTTTTATTTGAATGCCTTTTATGGGGTGATTTAATAATTAAGCACTCTGGTTTAATTAATTTGAGTGAAAGACAGAGGCCGTTGCTCTGTTCGTGTGTGAAAATTGTAGCATCCAAGTGTTATGTGCATTTAATGTATTTAAATTCTTTGTCCATTCCGTGTGGCACATTAAATATTCATGGGTCGCGAGGTGGCAGGCCAAATAACTTTTTTAATTACATTACCATCAGCACAGGTCAATTAATTTCAGCACCGCACATCTGTACGTAGTTTGTATCTACATATTGGTGTTCGGGAAATCACGTTTCCATTTCACTAATGCACTTCCACTAGCATTGCGGCCTCATTTATTAGTCTAATTATTTGTGAAACACAACCGTCAGCATCGACAGTGGCCAACGTTTTAAATAAAAAACCAAAAGCCGGTAAATATAGCCGGCATTTTATAAGAAAATCAAACTAAAAAAAAATAAACAAAATTTAATGGGGGAAACTGCTGTGGCGACTATAAATTTTGCACTATCGATCATTGTCGGGCTGTGAGATAATTTCCAATAAATCTGCCCGCCATTTCAGAATAACCGGCGGAAAACTGCATTAGAGCGACCCGCATACAACATAAATTAGGATAATTACAATTGCACCCACAAGTGCCATTCGAGCCATTTGTGCTGCCTTTTGCCGTTTTTCGCCCCCGGGAACGGCAAGAATTTTGATTGCATAAACAAAAAGAAAAAAAATAAACAAACTGCAACTTTGTGTATTGCAAATTGTCAGCAACGGGCGTTCGAATGAAAATGAAAATGAAAACGAAAAAAAAAAACACAAAACTACTAAAATCCAATATCCAAAAATTAGCCAAAAAAGAATTACCAACCGTGCCAATTACAATAAAAACAACAACAAAAGCGAGAGGGTGCCCACAATTAGGAGACTCTGGAAATGGCCACAAATATTTGCCAACTCCTTGGCCAGCCCGGTCATGTTTGGCCGAAATTAGTTGGCCAAGCGGTGATTTTTTTTGGCCTACCATTCAGTTCAGGTGGGGTGTGAAGCGGTGCGTTTTATGAGTCTAGTTCCTGCAGCAAAACAAAATCAATTAAAACGAATCGCTGGAGCAAAGTTCCAGCCAACTCCAACTGGCTTATTCATCCGTGACTTTGCACTTTGCCGGCTATT